AGATTTCGTTGTCATAAAATGTAACTCAACCTTGGAAATGTAATATTTTTGAATAAAGTCATTGTTGTTAATGATAAACTCTAGTATTTAAAGAGTATGTTTCTATGATTACCAAAATATGTAGTTTGTCCATGTCTCGATAAGCCGTTTTTGAAAAATTGGCCATGAAAGTTTAAAAATATTAATATTTTAAAGGAATTATTGCTTGTGAATATTTCTGCCTCAGTCTTCTATGATAAGACCGGGAATGGCGAAAGATACCAGAAAATATTGACAAATAAGTTTGGAAATTTACTTGAAAACTGCCACACCACCCAACGTTTAACCTATAAAGAACTTTTAAAATGAGAGATATGAAACCTGAATAGCTCAGATTTGACCTCTCTTGGCTTATTTTTGTGGGGATTCCCAAATAACAATAAATATTGGAAATTTTGAAAAACTTTAAAAACGTCTTCTGCATTAAATCTAAGTTAGTTTATCGTTGATGTTTTGAATCAACTATCAATTGAAACGGGGGTCATTTCAAAATTTCAAAATTTAAATGTAAAACTGTATAGGTCTAAGTCGGATCGCATAATTAGTCAAAAAAATGACACAATTTCGTCGACCGAACACAATGAAGCATTAAAAAATTGGTTTAGCGCAGGATGTTTGGTCAATAAATCACACAAAACTAAAGAACGGAAAATGAAGTTTTTACGTTCTACTAACAGGCGCGAAACGTACCTTGTTATGCAACGAAAAATTCCCGAAGAGGTTTCTCTTTATAGCCCCAAGAAATCGTTTCACAACTTATTAACTCGGCGTGCGTATTGTTTGGCGATTTTTGTGCCACATGTTCACCTGTTAATTGATGTGTTAGCTGTTACAGTGACAAAGTAGCGGTTGGAAAATTAATCGTTCGTTTCGTCGTCCCATTCTCCAATCTGTTATAACCACTACATAATAATAATTATTGGCATTATTTAACAATAAAGACGACACAATTTATGACAAAGACAAAGTTACAAAAAAGATAGACAAAATAATCTAGCTAGTTAGTGTCCGACACTCATAACTCCTTATGAGCACTATGATTGTGTGTAAGTTCACTTTGCATCAAGAAACGTTCGCAATTACAATGGCGAGTTGTTCACGGTTTTGGCCTCTTCTATTTTGGTCTCCACTAAGAACGTGCCCCAGATCTTTGTTATCTTGATCGTTTTGAACACAGATCACGCAAAGTTCCACAGTATTCGGAGCATTCTCCTATGTAGCGGTCTTTAAGCCCCATATAACAATATAGGCCAACTAAAACACTTAATAATTATTTGCCGAAATTTTAGATTTAATTTATCGTTAGATAACAGTGATCTCATTTTAGAAAAGTTGCTGATTCTATTGTGCACTTGATCTATTTTTCTCGGTCTAATTGTCTGTGATGTAGCATCCAAGATATTTGAAACGGGTAAATTTCTTAATGTTTGGTTGTTTTATTTGTATTGAAGTACCTCCTCGTAGTTGTCTACTGAATATCATAAATTTTGACTTAGTAATATTCATTTTTAGGCTCCACCAGCCGTGTCACACCATCCAACAACTCTTGGAGTCCCTGAATACTATCACACAGGATGGCTGCGTCTTCGGGCTATCGGATATCACCTCGCCGTTGGCCTTCACTCGTAACTCTTTATCTTGCAGGGCCTGTTTGAAAATTATATTTCAGTAGATGTTGGATAGTAGCGGGGATAGAAAGCATCCTGCCGGACGCTTCGTTGAATACTACATGCTGACTCCTTATGACACACATTTTTGTCTTTACGTCGGTCTCAACATTTCTTTATAAGTATATTTAAGGCAAAAAGTACCTAGTGGGTGCCCAATGCATTCCTAAAGTCTAACTGCCTTTCAGCCAGGTCCCTATCAGACCGACTTCTTATTCTTCCATGTATTATAATGAGTAAAATGTTTAATTTGTGGCTCATCAGAGCCAAGCATTTTGCCCGTTGCTTCTTAGGCAATGATATAAAAGCAGAGTTTCCCCAGTGATGCAAACATCGTTAAAAAACTGGACCAGGACACAGTTTAGTTTGGGTTATTCCGAGCATTTGGTCTGTCGTTCTCAAACAATTCTTCCACGTAGCTCTTCTATACTTGAAGGATTTCTTGTTCATCAGTAATTTGTTTTCCCATACAGTTCAGCGACCTCCTTTACCGGGCTGAATTCCTTTCGAGTTAATCCATTTTCAGCATCTTTCATCCACTTCTCCTTAGCAGCTCGAATCTTTTGTTTTACATCTCTATCCTCTGTTTTCCCCTATTTTGCCCTTAAATTGCCTTCTCTGTTCCATGAGGTCCAATATTTCTTCCATCATCCATTGTTGTTTTTGTCCAGTTGTAATTTTATGTTCTATGTACCCTTGCTCAAACTTTGCTCACGGAATGATTTCCATGCTTCCTCTACACTTCCAGCTCTTTTCATGTATTTCATGTTGGCGTTGTTGTGGTCTATTTGTTTTCTCACTATATGTGATGGGTTTTTGGGGCCTTTCCAGCATAATCCGGAAAATTTATTAAATTAGTCACAATGGCTGAGGAATTTGGAATATCATACTACAATAATTGGAATAACGGGATGTTCATAAGGAATTTAATGATTACATCGACACGACAAAATCTAACAATTCAAATCTAATTGAAGATGCTTTGTTCAAGCTATAAAAGACGAACTGAGTAATGATTGCGCTTGCACATAATCCTTCTTTATCCTGAACGACGCAATACATTTTCCATCGTCAACCTACGAAATTGATTATACTTTTTAACCTGAACGCAGGAATGTCGTATAGGATTCTATGAAGTTGAGTTTGAAGCAGCCCTCTAAAATCCAAATTAATCAACTGCCGGAGACTTTTGATTAGTCTTAAAGCAGAATTGAAGGAAAACTTTGATACATTTCTTGTAGGTTGCTGTGGTAGGTTTCATTTTTAAATTATATTCAATTTTTAACCATGCCAAATGGCAAATTCGTTCAATGTGCCCATCCCAATTTCTTAGTATATATATCAAAATATTAACGTAGGATATAGTTCCAAAAAATTTCCACACAGCATTTTCCGTTGTAGGTGATTTAGCTTTTTGAGATTTTACATTTTGAATGAATCGATTTTACGTCGGGATAATTAAACATTAAAGAGCGAAGCTTTAAAAACCGTATGCTGTAATTCCATTTTCAACGCTTCCATCGTTTTTCCAAAAAATATATTAAAAATAAATAAAAACGGGTTAGCAAATTTGCATACTTCATGTTTCGCACTCGTACAACACGGAGGTACCGGTTCATGTGTGTCTATCATCAGACACCGTATCCCTAAACACTATAATTATAATAATAAAACGTCTATTATTTGCCGTAAGTGAAAATCACGATCTCCATTTAATTGTGCGTATAATTAATACGGCTTAATATGATTTTCTTTGGGTAGGTTTATTGTTTGATTTATGGGCGAACAATTCCAAATATAAAAGGTGTGCCGGAACGTGCATTCTTCGTCGCTGAGCCCACACAATAGCACACTTAACAATAAGTTTTAGGGAGTCGGACATTTACACGAACGTGGAATGTAATCGATATTTATCTATATCCAAGACTATACCAAGAAGTGTGGTGATTTTAATATGCGAATTTTTATATGCCGTTTGGCTCCTGATATTCACGTACGAATTGATGTTCGTGAATTGATAAGGTAAGAGGCATGCACAAAGTTCGTCGATGTGACTAAAAGGAAGTATTTTTATATCCAACAATAGGAATATTTTTTAATGCAACAGAAAATCGCCACTATCAATTGTTTTTTTTTTCTATTTCTTACTCTAAAATAGCCAATTATTAAGCTCATAGGAAATAAAACCTTATTTTTTAATTTTAATTTTTAAATTTTTCGGTACGTATTATAACATAATTTATATGCGGGGTTAGTAAAAACGACCGGAACGTTTAAATATCTCCAAAACTGCCCAAGCTGAAACGACAAAAATTCATTACCTGGGAGTAGGAAACTTTAGAAGTATATCAGGCAAGGTTGCCGGAATTATAAATATCATTGCGAAATCTGACAACATTGTTGTTGGCATTTCTGCAAATTCTGCATGTTGCAGAAACAAAATTTCGAAATTATGAGACCTTACTAAATTCGACATGTGCAATTCATTGGAACCAAAATAAATAGGCCATTCCACTTAAAATAACAAATTTTTGAAGTGTAAGGAAAAAGCGGTAGATCTGAAAACATTGCTTTTAGAATTTTTGAATTATTATCAAAAAGCCCCAGGTCTTGAATTTTATAGTTCCAACTTTGGCAGTTTTGGATATATTTAAGCTTTACGGTACTTCTTACTAACTCGGTATAAATGTCTCAGCGTTTCGGATATTTCGGAGTTTTATGTTAAAAGCGACGTTTGCAAGTTCAAATATATAACTTGCCAGACCGATGTATTTGGTGTTACAGCCTTATGGAAGGGGTCTACTTTCGTGTTTGGTGTCGATGTTTTAAAAATAAATAAATACATACATTCAAATTAAGGAACGAGGCAAATGGTCCTAGAAAAACTATAGTCCGCATTACGTTGATAAACTTATGGCGTTTATCGAGCTTTCATTCGGGCTTCAATGATACAATTAAAGTCATTGTCTGCAATAAGCTAACCTTAAGGAGTGTTTTTCTCATTGCTTTGTTTTAAAATAGTTGCATTGTCATTTGTCAATGTCACATTTTATAGATAGAGAGATAATCAATTTTTGTAAGTTTTCAAAATTAAATATTTAAAAATTTCAAATAAAACTGTACTAAATTTTCCCTTGAACAATATAATAAAAACTCACCTCGTCATTGGTTTTCACAATATCATAAAAAAATTATTTATTATTATATTATTAAGTGTCACTAGCGACCTAGCATATATCATCTTTGCACCATTTTTCTTTCATATCACTAGTAATAAACAACACGTGCTCTAAAATCGATATAATCACATATTTACAATAAATAAATAAATACATATAAATATCAAATTTGCCTTCAATCGTCTGCAAGCTCAACGAAGAAGAGTGAATTTGTGTAGGAAAGGTTTTTCTTGTCCGGTACCGGCTGTTTAACTTCATCGAATTTGTCATTCCAAGGTTGCACTTTGCCGGAAGCGAAGATCACGTAAAAAATATCCGTAATCACGTAAACCACCCCAGCGATAATAAATATTGTCCTCCATTGAATGGGATTTTCCTAAAACAGAAATATATAGTGATTGTCCACGAAGAAATTTCTATTGATTACTTGGTCCGTAACTATGTAGTGCACTATCACGGGGGATATCACAGAAAATATACTGGTTAAACCGTTGCTCAGACCCATCAGGATCCCCGAGTGATTGGGAGATAGATCTAGGTGGTTTACTTGGAAACCGCAGAATCCGCCGGCCGTACTACCTCCGACCACGATTAACATGGTTACGGACAGCCCTTTCTGTTGATTATTTAGGAACCCTACCGCTAGCAGACCTATTGCCGGACACACTGATCCTGGAAAGATATCATTTTTGGGTCCCATAAAGCAGCTTTTTCGTTAAAGGAGATGGCAAAAACACCAACTCAAATCTAGATTCAGAGACCCAGAACTGAAATACTAATATATGAGCAAACAAGCGAATGATCCATTTTGTGGTTTGTGGTGTACACCGAGTGCCAAATAAAACGATCCACTATATGATCTAGAACTCCAACGGAGATTCGAAAAAAAAATTTCTTATAAAGGTTTCTTGGATTCTACTGAAGATTCAAAAAATTATAATTTTGTTGGTACAGGATGTCCCAAAAGTGTCAATTATCTAGCTTGATTGAAAATAAAAAAAATTTTCTTATAAAGGTTTCTTGGATTCTACTGAAGATTCAAAAAAATATAATTTTGTTGGTACAGGATGTCCCAAAAGTGTCAATTATCTAGCTTGATTGAAAATACCTAATAACAAAAATAAATAATTAAAGTTTATAGGTTAACCAAAAAGCTATAACTTAAAACAAATAAAATACATTCTAAAAAAAACTTGACAACTATGAAATTTTTGAATAGGAATATGAAAAACAACAAAAACAAACACGAATGACAAAGTTTGTTTATACCTTAATGCGTAAAAAAAAAGATTGTGATGTCATAGCCAACTACATTTTAATTTTTTGATATTTCTTCGTTGTTTTGATGCCAGATGGAATGAGCATTTTAAGAGGAACATTCTAAACTCAACTTTATGTACCGAATTAACCCTTTTCAGTTATTTTTTTTATAGATTTATTTGTTAAAATTTGTTACCTTAGTTAGGTAGCCTATAAACTTTAATTATCGATTTTTGTAAATATGTATTTTCAATGTATAAGCTGAGGCGTCTTTTTCAAACCGATTGAGTAGTGCATCATCTCCTTAGTTTGTGGTTAAATTTTCGTTGCCATATCTGGATCAATAGATATTATTTAAACCAAGGATTCAAAATATACAGGGTCTTGAAACTTTTTTTCGTATCTCCTATGGGCTTTCAGATTTCTTAATACAAGTCCAACTTTTCGAAATAATCTAATGTATTATTTTGGTGTTTCTCCCTTTGAACATTAGCAGTTGAGAAGAGTTCAGTTGCTATTACCTATAGTGTTGAAGATCTTTCTTGCCGCTCCCCTACCGATCCACTTCCTATTAATGCTAATATCACAGATGAAGCTGAATATAAAGGAAAATATCCACATTGCCAAATATGGCGCTGCTGAGAGCAAAGCGTTCTAGAACCAAGTGAGCTTAGCACTGGAAAAATTTAACTATTTCAAGGACTTACTTGTTTGATATCGAACTTCAGAATTTTATTCAAAAATGTTGGCGTCTGAGTTAGGAATACTGAACTACCCCAATTAACCCCTAAATTGGATACCACTAACGCCCATACTGGCACGGATTTAAAGATTTCCTTCCACGGAATCTTGTATATCTGCAAGAAACTCAAACATTATAATAAGCGATGGAGTACATACAATTTTCAGTGCCTTTTGATTACGCTGCTGGCCTAAGCTGTGTTCGATGTAGGCCATTTCAGCTTTGCTGATGGAGTTGTGACTCCTTGGACGGTCGAAGCCAAAGAACATCCACAAGAATACCCAGCTTAATCCGAACGCTCCCCACAGATAAAAGCAAAATGGCCAGCCCAACCAGCTCGAGCATATCACTCCGGTTATCGGGAGCGATACGATATTTCCGAACACCGATCCTACGAATTGATAATAAATGGTTATTGAATTAATGTTACGGGTTGTTTGATCGTGGAACCTGCATAAGAAAACGTTCCGATCCTAGACCTTTCCGAAGGAGGTGCCCAATGCCCTAGTAATGTGTTTACTAGTGGCAACACGAAGCCTTGAGAAACTCCCTGGAAAAATCTGCACAGCATAACGCCTTGAGATCCAAATGCATGTGCCATGGTTGGAATCAATATGCACGCTATAGAGTCCAGTGTTGTGCTGCCTTAAATGACAACAGATGATAATGTATGAAACTCTGGAAGGTACGTTAAGGCAACTCACCCACCAAAATCCACTTGATCCCGTATTTTTTTCCAAAATGGGCAGCGGGAATTTGGAAAATTATGTAACCCCAGAAGAAGGCTGAGAGTACAATACTTTGATCGGTCCAATGGTACGTCTGAAAGTTTAAATTTGGGTAAACATTAATTGGCCTACTTTGGAAAGTAATCTTATTTTGATGTTTGGCATTATGGAACAATAATTTATTGGGAATATTTAACGATAGGCTGATATAACATTGTCCCGGCGCATCTGCCACAATCAAAACAGTTCGGGCTTGGAGGGTTTTTAATTTTAATTCCGAATGAAGTTGAACACTTACGGGGATATCTTGATTTTCGCTGGTGGAATTGTCGTTCATGGCAACGATGGCGACTGACAGCGCGGACCTCATGCAATAAGTGTTGCACATTAGCAGAAAATACAAAATCATCTGCACGTGTCTACATCCCAGTCGTGGTCCTGAACCAAAGTAACCATTAGAGATTTATCGTTATCTGTGTTTACGGAAATGAGTCGATTTTGGGAATTTCGTAAGAATAAAATAAAAATAACGGATCGTTGGCGGTTTCAATGAGGGGGTCGACCCATATTCCTCGGCTGTTATCGGCGAAAACATTTTTTTTAAGAAGAGATACAGAGTTTTATTTATAGGATTTATCGTTGTTTTATGGATTTTGCTGCGCTCGTAAAATAGGCGATATCAAGTCCACGATGCTAAACGTGAGAAATTTTATACAGTGTGTTACATCGTTTATTTATGAAAGTTATTTTAACACTGTTGAAACTTATTCCTTCGAAATCAAATCATCATCAAAATTATTATTTTTTTAAAAACAAAAGTAGCGTTAACGAAATATGGATTTTTTTTCAGTAATCGTTGGCCTAGTCATTGCTTTTCCAGCCATATGTCACATAGTTCTAAAATATTTTGTTGTTCTTTAAGAGCTATCTATTGGTATTGGTATTGATATTAAAGGGGGGCGCCCTCGCGGGCGTCCAAGCACTTAGGCCACCAGATTGGCCCGTTGTGCCCCCAGGCCGCTCTAGAGGGCGTCCAGAATGCCGCCCCTCCTGTAGAAGGTCAGCTACTCCTTTAGCCCAATACCGTGCACTGAGTCCGGATCGATCAGGGCCGTTCCGAAGACTCCCAATCTTGCCCATGTCAAGGCAGGGCACTCGGCGAGCAGATGTGAGCTATCTATCTCGGCATGCATTATCTTGTTTGAAATACGAAGCGACTCTCTTATTTTATTATATTTAAACCAAAAGTGACCTTGCCTAGACTGTCGAGATTCTTATAGAGTTGAATTTTGAAAATGAAGAATTCGCCCATTAGATTTTTCTTTTGGTATGAAACGACGGAGTCGGCTATTCCACAACTTAATGAACTTGGCTTAATATGTCCAACAGAAGAAAATTGCTCAAAATTTCTTAATACCGGCATCCTTCTTGGTTTTATAACAAAAAGCGCAATAACAATAGCAAAACAATTTTTTTTTAATTAATTCTCGAATAACAATTGTCATGATATTAATTTTAATGATTTTTTGCGTAAGTAGTTGGATCAAAAAATAGGATCTTTTTTTTTATTTCTTCTATGGGTGCTCAGCAGTCCATTATGAAAATTATTTTCTTTTCGTGCATTGTGTAACTATTTAAGTTATTGAAGTAAACTTCCATATATCTTTTTTTTATATATACTCTCGTTTATTTATACTTCCTTCGAAACTTTGACCATATGCAGATTTTGTGTTTTTACGTTAAATAACAAACGTTATTTTGATTATTATTAAAATAAAAATAATGTTTTAACAACGAAAACATTTAGTCTGTCCTCCAACTGTGAGCAAAATATACTATATAAGTTATCTGCGCAGGGTTCAATAATAGTGTTTAATTGGATGTAATTAAATAAAAAATTAAAAAAATTATAGTAATAGTATAAAAAATATAGCATTATTTTAGGTGTACGGCCTCTTTGTATTTGTATTAATTTTCTAACTAGGCGTCCAAGAATCTTATGGTATTTTTATGGGAAAAGTTTCTCTGTAAAATTTCCATTAATGGGAAATGTATATATAAGTATCTAGTGTGAAAACTGAAAAAGATTTATATTTTTTATTCGTCGAAAAATATTTCAGATTATTATTTTCAGTATCTATCATCATCATCCTGACTCCTACTATAAATGTTATTTAGAATTAGAATCGTGAAAAATATTTTTTTTAATTATAGCGAATCTTATTTTTATTATAATATAATTAAATACTATTTGAATAGTTTTATAAGTAATCTCCGTATATTTAATAAGGGTTTAATAAGGACCCCTCAACAAACAATTTATTAAAGGCAGAGGCTATTTATAAAAATCTGTTTGAACGTGAGTGTAGCCACATCAAACTTGATAAATACAATTAAATAAGAGACATTTTTATTTTTCTCGAGTATAAATTTGGAGATTTGATTCACATTAATGAAATCAGAAAGAATGGAAAGCTTTTGTTAACTGTATGGGCCAAGATTTTAAACCCCAGTTTTTTTTTTAATGTAAGTAGCAACTAACTGTTTGTAAACATGCGTACCATGACGGAACAGAACGAGTTTATTGATAAACCTCGAATTTATTTACGATTCGGGAATTTCGCAGAAAAAGGAAATTGTATATCAAAAAAATTGTTATTAAATTTAATTTTGTATTAAATTAAAATAATTATATTCCGTGCTTAGAAAATTGTTCATTCGAAGTTGTTTCGGTTATATACTCCCCGATTTTTAGAGATGATGATAAGTTAATGAATTGAAGTTTCGACTGCAGTCAATAGGAAAGTTACCTTTTTCCATAATTTTCCCAATATCCCTTTTCACTTCTTCACGAACGTTTTCACCAGTGGTCATCTCACCGCCACCATCAACTAACTCACTGTCTCACAAAAAATAACCAAAACTAACGAAAACTGTCAACGACATATTCGCAACTCACGGGGTCAAAAAGTTGTACTAAATTTTTTGCAAGCAACGGAATTTTGCAGTTATCGGCGACTAATAAAATATGTACAACAATGGCAAGTTTGAATCGGTCAGCGGCGATAGTAAAACGTTCAAGATGATTTCCACCGATTTATACGGAAATTTAGATGGACGCTTTTTTACAGGGTGAGTAGTTATGCATTAACAATTGAGCAACGCAAATGGAGAGTCAAAGTTAACTGTGTGAATTTTGCAGGCACAAAAAATTTACCGCTTTTCCAATATCTTTTCATTACTTTCTCGTTCATATTTTTCGACTCTAATTAGCAGGAAAAAGATAATTAGCTACTCGTTAGGCACTATTTCTTTCCATCCTGTATCAGAACGATGTCTGTTTGATGGTTTTAATAGGTCCATTTAAAAATTTAGGCGATAGTATTTTGTCGCGATATCGAAAATTGCCGTCCATCCTATAACAGTAAAAAAACAAAATTAGGTTTGGACGTGTGGTAGATAAGCTTTTGACTTTTTAAAAAAAAATTTGACTGCTTTAATTGCATTATTGTTATCGTAAGTGCCAAAAACATCGGAATAAAAGAAATAAATTGAATGTTTTTAACACTTTGAAGAGATATAAGGAAATTTTTAAAATGTTCTTATCAATTTGTTTGTTGTACTGCATTTCCTCGCCTTTTTGACTTTCATGGAACCGGCTATGGGGTGAATTAAACGTTGATTGGGATGTGCAAATAGTGTGTGTTCGATAGGGAAATTTGCTAACTTGGCAAATAATGCAATCCAGATTTTGTATTATATAAAACATAAATTGAAAAAATAGTCTGACGTTAACGTTTAATTGTAGGGCGTAGTATGCGGAGCGCTTAGGAAACTGTAGAAAAAATATGCAGGTCTAGAAAGTAGCGATCAACTCTGTTTTTGTCATACGACACTTCTTGAGTAATGGACTATAAATAAACGTGATGTTTCCCACCCATTCTTCCATTTCTTACGGCGCATATTTTCATGCTTCCTTGCGATAAGACCAGTAAAGATTTAGCACGTAGCAAAAATTGTTTCAAAGTGTTTATAACAATATGTCATATGACGTCTTAAGTTTTACTCTTTAATGTAATTGTTTGATTATTTAAAAGAAAATGTCTGGTAAAGCTTGCCACGATTCATCTAGAGAAACGATACAACATGTCAGTAAGAGAAACAAGGTTAAAATGGAATAAATGGTCACGTTAAATTATATTATAATACATTTTGTTCCTTCTTTTTCAGTTTTGAAGGATAATATTAGTATAAGGTTAGTAAAAAGTATCGGTACGCTTAAATATCTCATGATAACGATTAAATTTAATACCTGGGAGCAATGTTGTCAGATTTTGCGATCATATTTTGCCAACCTTTCACTGATACAACTCTCAAGTTTCCTATTTTCATAATCGTCACTGAATTTTATCGCTCCAGCTTATGGAATTTTTTTAGATATTTTATCATTCTAGTACTTTTTACTGAAATATGGTCTAGGACGTACCGAAAAATAAAAAAAAACAAATAATATTTGAAAAAATAAAATAAGAACAATTTTGGCTTATTATTTCTTTATATTTTTTACACGTTCTGAGATAAAGTGTCATTTAATATAATCTTGATAATTGACTTTTTTGGAGTAAGAAATAAAAAAATGTTTCCTATGTTCACTGATTTTTTTTTGCTTCAGCTTTCGGAGTTTTGGAGATACTTAATCGTTCCAGTACGTTTTGAGAAATATTGAGAATTTTGTTTCCAATTCGTTTAGTTTTAAATTAATAAATTAATTAATAAAAATATCACTTATCGTTTCCTTCTTTTTTCTGTGATTACTTACCGTGTTGTAATCCTTTAACAACGTTAATTAAGATAAAAAAAAAGTAATACTCGTCTGCAAGAAAAATCCAAATCAAAGATAAATATAGTTGCAACTTGATTAAAAAAAAGTTCAAAAAATATTTTCTATTATCTCTCCTGATAATATATTCGCGACTTGGAGCTTCGTTCGCCCTGTACAATCGATAACGTAAATTAATATAAAAAAAATTGTAACACTCATCCGGGAAAATCAAATAGTTATGATTCTCCTATGACAATATTTGAATTTCAGTTCCTTAAAGGAATGTTTATTCAACGCGATTTACAAACGTACGGGGGAAATTAAACACCCATCCGATATTCAAATCGGATAAACAGAAGGTGATTTTCACACGTATGCGTCACGTTTGTAAAAATTGATATAATGCGTTGCTGCGGTTTCCGTTAATAACGTTAACGCTGTAAAATTTCAGTTTCGTTTTCCCGCCACTCAAATCTCCAGTTTATGCGAACTTTTTACGACCGTACCTGTACCACTGTTAAAGGTGTTACACAATAAGCGCGGAATCGCATTAGTACTTAATTTTTTACGAGAGTTCCGCAGATAATAACAGTTATCAAAAAATCTAAAAATTACAATATTTGAAATTAAATTGTAGCCACAGTAGATGGGGAAGTTCGAGTTTTTAATATATGGCAATTACTCCTGTGTGGACCACGTGTTGATTCATAAGTTGTTGTGGTATGAGGTTCGAGGCACTCCACTTAAACTCCTGAAGACTTACCTAGCTTACCATTTTCAATAGATCTAATGGAATGGCATCAATAACTGACAGTGTATTGCAAATGGGGCATAGTGTTCCACAGGGGTCGGTTCTCGAGCCTTTATGACGTTTACATTAACGATAGTCCCTTTTCTTTGCCGGATGCGCAAGGGAAACTCTTATAAAAATTTACTCTCTCATTCAAAAAGATTGCTCCAACTAATCTCTCTTTGACACATCAGATTGATGAGTTGTGCAGAAACTTATACAGCAGATCGATTAAATTATCGACGTTCTTACAGTTCTTCAGAATACCTAACAGCAAACTATCTACATTTCTTAAAGTTCACAAAATTGAAGTTACTGTTAAAATGGTTAATGGACTAGTTCTAAAGCAACCACGATTTGAAAACTATCTATCTGGTCAGTTCTATAGAAAATCGTCGTCTGTATAAGTATTATCACAAAAGTTTTCAAATTATGCATGTTACTCTGCGCTTTTGCTTAGTTTGCAAAACATCCATGGTGCTTGGAAAATGTGTTAGCCAAATAGTACCAATACTCGGCGAAGAGATTTATTTGAATTGCTAGCAAGTTGCTATACTATTTTGCAATCTACACAGAACCGATACTGTTCCTATTTTTTGTGTTTTGCACTCAAATCTCCAATAGTTAGTACACAAGCTGGATTTTATGCAAAATTTGCGTTATATAGAGCTATTTTAGTAGATATATAACTTTCAAATAAAAAAATCACGTATTGGTGTATTTTGTACAATATCCACCTAGTTTCTTGATCAAGTGGACCGAACATCGTATTCAGAACCCAAAAGATATCAATTTACTTAAAAGAAATGTAAAAGTAACAGCTGTCATTTATTTATTCTCTTACATATGTACAATTTTAATGCGCGACCTACATTCTAGATGAGATTTACTTATTTCCCTTGGAAAGATTTTCCACGACCACTGTATCAGCATCCGAGCTCGTGTTTTCTATATTATCCCACCATTGCCTTTCGCCAGACGCATAAATGAGGAAGAATATGTCCGACACTACATACCATCCGGCCGCGATGATAAAAACTATTCTCCATAATGATTTGTCACTCTGTGATTAAACAGTCGCGATTATAGACAAATTTCTCCTTACCCTGTCAGTGCGGTTCTTACCTCATCTGTAACTACAGCTTGCACCACCAACGGGGATATAATCGAAAATATATTTGATGAACCGTTTCCTAATCCCATTAATGTACCGGCATATTTCGGAGAAAGATCCACGTGATTTACTTGAAAGCCGCATAGGACTGCTGAGTTTGCGCCAACCGCTATGATGAGAAGGACGACGGATAAAGCCACTTGATCTTCTGGTATAAAACCCAACACTACCAAAGCTATACCAGGCACAACGACGCCTAAAAATAATTTATGATCAAAAACTAAAATGTAGTTAAATTGTCATTGTTCTCCAGAAGCAATGTAACCGTGAGATTAATTTACGACCAGCTACTGAAAATTCTTACCGATGGAATTCATGATTTTTCTCGTAGTTCCAGCTGAGAAATACTTGTGTACAATCCAATAGTCAGCTAGTGGCCCAAATCCTAAGCCCAGTATAAAATACGCCGCGTATGGCGCTGCAGATAGCCAGGTATTCTAAAAGTTGAAAATGACTTAGCTGCATCCTAGAAGAAATTAAAGTTATCACTTCAAAATCTCAGCTCACCTTAGACATTTCCATTCCGCAGACTTTGTCGAGATAGTTCGGAATTTCAGTCAGCAATGTGGCGTACCCCCAATTTTGCCCGAAATTGGCTACAACTATAGCCCACACTGGCATGGAAGTGAAGATTGCTTTCCATGGGGTTTGATGTTTCTATATAATGAAATATGACCTCATTAAGTGCATACAAAAAACCTGAGCGTGCCTACATTTTCATTCTCGATTGTTCCGATGGAACGTTCGATGTAGTTCCTTTCTTCGGGGGTAATTGACTTGTGCTCCCTAGGGTTATTTGCTCCTATTATCGCCCACAGTGCACTCCAAGCTATACCTAGTCCCCCGAAAAGATAGAATGCTACCGGCCAGCCGACCCACGATTGCGAAATCAAGCCCGTAGCGGGTGTAGCTATTATAGTACCAAATGCTACTCCTGAAATATTAAATCGTGGTGTCCAAGGGAAAGCAGCTCTCGTTTGCACCCTTTACCAGTAAATACGATATTTCCGATGGTGGACCGCTCGTTCTGCGGCGCCCATTTCCCTAGAATATTGTGCACGGACGGAAAGAAAAATCCTTGAAACAATCCTTGGACTATCCTGCAGGCCATCACACCGTACGAACCGAACACGTCAGCCATTTTCGGGGTCAAAATGCAAGCGACGGAATTCATCAACATTGCCACAACGACGAACCATTTGACACCGTACTTTTTCCCAAGCTCGCCAGCTCCCACCTGGAGGATGATGTAACCCATGAAGAAGGAAGAGAGGACTACGCTCTTATTGTCCCAGTCGTATGTCTGCAATTTTAATCCGGTTTAAAGATATCCAGTTTCTTCGAGGTACCTTTGAGCTATTTCATATATGTAATTTTCCAACCTTAGGTGTAAATTTTCGTTATATCCTAAGGAAACCTTACCTTCGGCCACTTGGTAATTTACTTATCTTTAAAAATAGAATATACCGGGTGACACTACACTATATAACTTTTAAACGGCTTGAGATAAGCTCGCAGGAAGGAAAAAACCAGATAAGTAAATACACTTATATAAAAACAAAATATTATTTATGTAGTTTTGCTTCTATTCATCATCGGCATGTTTGAAAAATCTGACAGTTTGGATATTTTTCTCTGATTATCGATTGTGTCTTGTTACCGATTTGGTTTATCATGGAAAACAATAACCAATTTACAAATGGAGAAAAAGTTGATATGTTTCTGATATACGGGGAATGCATAAAAAACTCTCGAGATGCTCGTGCATTGTATGCAGCCCGCCATGCGGGACGTCGCCTTCCTGCACATTTTTTCTTTAGAAAGCTGGAATTGAAAATGAGAAATCCACAAAATAATCGAAATAACATGATGATTTTCTTATAAGTGAGGAAATGGAAATCAATGTTTTGGGACACGTCAACATAAATCCAGCTGCGTCGCTAAGAGAAGTGGTATTAGAATCTGTGAGGAGAATTTAAATAAAAAAAACAACTATCATTCTTTTAAGTATAACCTTCATCAACATCTTTATGTAGCCGACTTTGTAAGAAGAATGTTGTAATTGGCTGTTAAATAAACATGACGAGAATAATAATTTCGTTAACTTAATTTTGTTCACGATTATTAAATCATTATTTATGTTTAACCAACAACAGATACTGGTCTTTAAATAATCAAAGAATTATTCGGAATCAATGTTTGGACAGGAGATATAGGAAGGCGAATTATTGGACCAGTTTTTTTTCATGGTGCCTTCACTGGTGCACGATGTTTACAATTAAATTAAATATGTATTTTCAGCAGAATGATGCTCCTCCCCATAATTTTGGAGATGTCACTGAACACCTACGTCATGGTCACACGGTCCAGTCAATTGGTCCCCACGATCACCGGACTTGACACCGTAAGATTTTTTTGTTTGTAGGTACGTGAAAAACACTATTTGTGTAAGTCCAGTGTTCGACCTACAAAAATTGCGGAGTACACTATCCGCTGCCTTTGATAGTATAATTCCAGAAATGTTAGGAAGAATTGCAACGAATGTAATATAGAGCCAGGGAGTGTCGTATACAAGAAGTAGGACATTTCAAAAACATTCTATGAAAGTGTCATCTTGAAACAAATTAATTATTTATTTAATTTTAATAAAAACAAATAAATAAAATACAAAACTCCAAAATAAATTATAATTATATAAATACAAAGCTCCAAAATAAATTAATTCGATGTTTTGTGTCAAAGTAACACACGTTGATATGCCACTTTCAAATCGATTCTACCGACATTGTTGAGATTTTATTTTCTAACAGATTTTCAAAATATTGAATTATTCCAAAAATTTGAAAAGAAAAAAAATTTCTATTCTCTTGTTCTTCTAAGTTTCCGGTAAAAAGTGCTTGTACCAAATGACGTACGAACACATACAATACCTATGTTAGTTTTTGACTACTATATATATATATATATATATATATATATATATATATATATATATATATATATATATATATATATATATATATATATATATATATATATATATATATATATATATATATATATATATATATATATATATATATATATATATATATATATATATATATATATATATATATATATATATATATATATATATATATATATATATATAATATATATATATATATATATATATATATATTCCAAAAGCATATCAACTTTTTACCCTAATAAAACACTTTCAACGAAAAATTCTAATCGTTTAATATCAGAAGAAACTCCCCATTTCGCTTTTACTTTTTTTTTAAATACTAATCAGTTTTTTTCCACTGCATGAGCTTGTCGACAGTTTCTTTTGCATTTTTAATCTTACCGGCTTGACAATTAGTATTGAATAGAAGCAAAGCCACCTAAGTAATATTTTGTTTTTATAAAAAAAGCATTTATTTATCTGGGTTTTTCCTTCCTGTGAGCTTATTTTTGAACGGATTTTGAAAATTTTGGTGTCAAAATATTGCAGAAAAAGTACCGGTTTTAAAAAGCTTTTGTTCCCACTAGGGCGTAAAAAATTAGTAGTTCATTAGATTAAATGCTATTTGCCATTAGACAAGTAAAGAATTCTTTTTTTCTTATGATGAGGTGACCCGCTAAATAGTATTTATGATGGTCAGAACCTCACAATTTTCAAAAATTTTCAATATGTTTTTTTATAAAACAAAAAAAACTGAAAAGACGTTCATCCTTAGTAACAAAGAAACAAAATTAATCAAAAAATTTAACCATTAGGTGTCTATAGGCCCCCAAATTTTAGTCCAAATATATCTGTTGATGAATTGGAAAGTTTATGTCTACACCTTCTTCCACAAACTGATAATTTAATACCTGGATCTCTTAGATATGTTGGAGCTAGAGCAGATCATCGATGGGCCGACTAGAGAAACATGTACCAGTAAAAAGTTAATAGGTCACCTATTACTTTCAAAATAGATAAAAGTCATTAGGTCGAGCACTAACAATATTTCGGATCACAAATTCGCTTTTGCGGATGTTGAGTTGAGTGCGCGGACATATCGAGTGGAGCCAGCCAGGAGACTTTAAAAATGTAGATATTATTTCTTTGGATAATTCCCTAAAATATCTTGGCGTAATGTGTTTGACTTAAATTATATTGGTGAAAAAGTATCTTTCTTCATTAAAAACGCCTTGAATCACAGAAAACACTAAGTTTCTAATAAAATTAAGAAATAAAGGCAAATTTAAGTGCAAAAATAAAGAAACACCTGAATATCAGGCCCGTTAGCTTAGAAACTTTACTAACGAAGTAATCCATTCTCTAAACAATAAATAAAAAATTTTAAATGTGATAAAAAGTATAAAAAACACTGGAAAGAAGTCTTTTATTAACTCTATTCCAATTTCAAATTCAACATCGCCAATGATCGACTATTATGAGAACTCTCCTTATCCTTAAGATAAATTTCAGTTTTCTGGAGTTTCAGAATCGAAAATTGCACACTTTCCCACTCAAATTAAAACTAGAGCGGTTGGTCCTGACGGAATCCATATTAACTTTATCATTTTTTGTTGCCCTTTTATATTAAAGTACATCTGTCATCTTGTATCCAAAATCCTGAATCCAAAAATGCAAAAAAATACAGGTTGTGCCATTTAAAATTTGAAAGTTACTGTCGTTTCGGCCTATATTAACTCTTGTAAATTTCGTATCGCTATTTCAAGCCGTTTTAAAGTTATAGAGTGTTCCCATTTTCTTGTGCCACCCGGTATAGCACAAACGGGCTTTTCTCCCTAGCCCTTTCCCATTTTGAGATATGGGTTCTTTTTGGAAACGATACATTTGAAGGTACAATCTCTCCAAATAATTTTTTGCGTAACTTAGTTTTGTATTCAGAATCAATATACGGGGTCCGGTCCAAAAATTATCAGACACCACCATATTTTTTAAAAATAGAAATATATTTGCTTCAAGTATTAATTTAATTAATAGATATTCATTACTGAAATTCATTTTTAAATTATTTGAAACTACAATTTGGAATTTGAGGCTGTTTATGTTTGTTGAATAGCCAAATTGGGGACGAGTGGTTTTCGTAATTTTGTGGTTTAGGGTTGCTCGTTGTGTTTGGAGCTAGGGCCGAGCATTTGGGTGAAACATAGAAAAAGAAGCTTCATTAAATCCATAAGTTTCAGGAATAGATGCGACAAAATTTATCATATGATAAAAAAAATCGAACCAGTTGAGCGAACAAAATCATCTGTTCTAACACGGAATAATTAAAGAATTCGATTCATATCATGCGCAACCACTTGAATGCATAAGTGTTTAAAACATATTTAAATTTTCGATATCGGTATTTCCACTATATTCGATAATTAATATCGACAAATATTTGGAACATCATAATGCTGGTTTAATCACGATGCATAGAATTTAGACGACCATATGAAAGGACTTACCGGGACATCAGGATTTGGACTAGTGTCGTTTTTGGTCATAGCGACTATTCCCACCGACAAATTCACCCTCATCGCGTAGCCGATGGAAAGTAACAAAAACATCATCAGTGCCTGGGTGTATCTAACTCCATAGCGAGGTCCTGAGAAAATGTAATGAGTGAATTTTTCAATATCTTAAAAATTAGGTTTAATATTGTTTTATTGTTAATATTTCAACGAGCGGAGTCAAGATTTAATTTTGTTAGCACTTTCCGCTTAAATTGCAGACAAAATAAAGAAAAAATTCTACTGTTAATAAAAAAAAAAAAAGCAAAAACATTAACTACATCGTGAAGGTTGCTAAAAGCTAAATGAAGAATTGAAATAATTTACAAATTAGATTAGATTGGAAGAACATTTAACAAAATAAAAATTAGACAAATATTACAAATATGTACACGTTAGTAATAAGCACGGAAGCATTAAAAGTGCTTGTGTGTGGCTTTAGGTACTTAATTATACAGTTCTACAGTGATGTTGATGTTTGAAAGCTGTTTGCTTATTTGTATATTTTTGGGAGCCATATTTTTGCTTTATCGCGTCATTTCTTTTATAGCGCTTTTATTTATTAAAAAAATATATTTTAATACTTTATTATATAATATATAATATAGTATATAATATAGGTATGGTTTTTAAATGAACTGATTTTTATTAATATTACATTTCTCTGCAAAGCAACAGAATGAATACGGCGTTGTAATCCCTTTATGTTAATTTTGCTTGTGTTAGTCTTCGTGGCTGTGGTCTTCATTGATGCGTAGTTCTAGTGTTCTAGAACGTATAAGTATCGAAAGAAGAAATTGAAGACATTGCACTCAAATAGAATGGCCCTCTAGAACAAGCCTTACACCTGGTAGCAAAAATGTATTATGAGATAACTTAATTTACCCCAAAAAAGTTTTACTGCCTGCTCTTTATATCAAGTTTGACTTGAAGAAGTAGATGCTAAGATAAAAGACGGTATTTTTGTTGGGCCGCAGATAAGAACATTATGCAAAGACAAGGATTTTCAAAGCACATTGACCAATGTCATTTAAAGAACAAATTGGTAAGTTTGTTGGGAACTCTAAAATCGAAAACTACGAAATTATTGTTCAAAATATGAAACAACATTTTCATCGTTCAGGTTGTAATATGGGCGTGAAAGTGCATTTCCTGTTGTCACACATGAACAGGGAGAGAGACAACGCAGCTTTCTGGCAAAAAGACGAAGAATTAACTCAAAAAGTATTTTTTTTTCACTTTTTTAAAAGTTAAATTTTATAGACCTGTGTAATATATGAATTGTGTATTGTTGTTATTAATTTTATAGCTGGGTTTTATCAATTTTAGGCCAAAAAAAAAAGAAAATTTTTGGGCTACTTTTTATTTATTAAATAATAATATCATATTTCAAACATACCGATGGTTCATTATATTTTGGAAAAAATTGACAGCTTTACGAGAAAAATGCCAACATATTTTTTGCGATAAAACTGCTATTATTTCAAACAAAGGTTCGAGAGATAACAAGTCGATTGTTTTCGAACGTTCCAAGGGCGAATTCATCTAATATTAAATAGTTAAGTTAAGAAAATGCCGATCCAATTTACTAGCATCAAACATTTTCGCGAAGTTTGAATACATATTCTTTAATGGCATCAATTAAAAAGGAGACAATAAACCATAAGCAAGTCTGCACACGGGCGAGTTATACCTTTATTTATAATTTCTTCTTTAGGAACTTCTTCGACGTCCTCGGTTCCTTTGAGGTCGCCCATCTTTTTGTTAGTAGATCGCAATGGTGTCGCGGCAGATAGAGGTCAGTTGCCAGTATTCTTCTTCTACCTGAATTGGACTTGTGTGTTGTTTTCGCGACACCCACTGAACAATTAATTATCTAGATCGATTGAAATTTCTTACCGCCACTTAATGATGAAGTGCGACAAATGATAAAAAGTCTCAACAGCGTGATATTGGTTTTGTTGCGCAAAATAATATGGCAAATTTTCGAAAACTTGCGATGTGATTGTGTAAGAAAGAATTTAAGTTATTTCATGTCATATTCCGTTTCCTCTTAAAACAGCAGACTGGACGTACTGGAGTGGTACTGGAGGAAATATCCTTGTGCCTCGTTGGCTAATCTGGTAAATTAATCTCGTAAACTGGTAAAGTTCTCCTAAGGTACACAGGTACAAGGTGCAAAAAGGTGTGTATTTGAAGTTCTCACTGCATTCTAAGCGGAATGGGTGAGATCGCTACTGCTACTAGACTACAACAAAATTGGAGGAATGCAATTTTGTCTGTTGAGGGTAATGAGAAGGCTAATAGAATAAGAGAATAACAAACAGTATATTGGAAAGCATCTGCAGCCTAGAATCCTATTTATGAAAAAAATGTTTGTCAGCCTCAGTAGGACGCGACTACGAACTCTGGCAGGAGACTGCCATCTAGAAAGGTGCCTTCTTATAATAACGGTTGTCGACAACAACCAATGGGGATTGTGTTTAGAAAAGGAGGAAATTTTCATTCAACTTTTAATCAGCTCAGCACCATTAGCGAGCGGCAGATTAAAATCACACACATCAATCGACTGAGAAGAGCAAACGAATTGTACAAAACATATATGCATAAAGCATTCCTAAAACCTTTATTTTATGACAGTCGATCTGAGAAACTGGCAGTGTTGGGACAAAGTATGCGTTGAAAAAAAAATAAAAACGCACTTCGTGACTATGAAGACAAGGTGTACACGCCAACAATTTCGGAAGCGAATACTTAATTAAAGATAAATAATTCGCATTTAATGGTATTACTGCGTTCTCTTTTTACATTGACGTATACTCTCTACGCTCCGTCCACTCATCAATGAGTGAGTGTAATCTCTGATAAATCGACAGTGACGTAGACAATTACATTAGGAGTTTTGAGAAGAATTAATGCCAACATTATATAAAAACAAGCTGTAGACTAATAAAAAAAATACGGGGGAATAAAATCTCACTAGCTATATAAAAGGCCGGCTTCCATAGTTTGATATTTATTTCGTTTCAAAATTATTTCTTTCCGTAAGTTTTGCGTGAGTTGCATTTTGCTTTTTCTCATCCATTCATGGACGTTGGGAATGATTCGCACAAGAAGAAAAAAAAACTATCGATTCTTATACAATTCAAACTCTGATACTTCCAGTTTTGAATATTACTTTACATATTTTTTGAAATAGCCCATAACAGTTTTTAGTTATCAAAGGAATCAATTTGTTCCAGCTCCACCATTTTATCGAAAACCGATATACTGTTTTTTAAGTGTGTTCTTCGAATTTTTCTTAGAATTGCACAAAAATTTCTACTGGCATTTCTAGGTTTCTTTTAGCTCGTGCCTTTTTTTTCTTCAATAATTTGAAAATTCCAGTCACCCGAAAATCTCGTTTTATGCAGTCTTGTACATTTAAAATACTAAATTTTTCCTTCACGGGCCTTGGACAATTATCTTTTGTATGTTGTCAATATTATTACATTTTCTACAATGTGATGGAACAACAAATAGTATTATCTTTGAGACACCGTTAAGAAGTATTTAAAATCAGTCTTTAACAGGTCGTTTGCCTGCAGTTCACCTCTAGTTTTAGGTATTACGTTTTCTATTTTCGTCGAAATCAGTTTGAGCAGTAAAGGCAGCTACAGATTCTTTCATGTTATATACAGTTATATTATTTCCACTTAAAAAGTCTGTAGATTGTCGTTTAACAGATAAGTATCTCGATCAATGATTAGTAAAAAATATGCCGCCATATTATCAATAAAATTTATATAAGTCATTTTCACCATCAAATTTTTCTCACTCATGTTGCCGTAATGACCGTGAAGTGTGAACTCGAAAGCTCTCCAAAATGTCAACAAGAAGAAATCCGTCGTAAGTTATTCTACTGTTCTGTTTCCCGTAATTAAAATTGTTTAATTCTGGCACTCAGTCCCCGTTATTGGCAAAAGGCACGTACAGGGTTTTTTGATGTTCTTGTGTCTCATGGTCGAACAAGGAGGAAGAGGCACGATCAACGTTGCTATTGTCTCTATGACCAACCAAAATGAAACAAATCCCGACATATCGGTAAATAGATTTATTGTGATATACAAACAATAGTCTGAAATAAATATGTAATGGCGGAGTTGCGAAATATACTTTGGGTAGTCGAATAAAATTTTATCACAACCCATAACCAACGGAATTTATTCTTCCAGCTAATTAAAACTTATTTTGTGATAAATAAAATCGTGAAGCAGTAAACAAGTAAAGTTCCGATTAACAAGTTAAACATCAAAGTTTCTAATACCTTCCATTTATTATCTAAATTTCGTATTTTATTTAGTTTACTCAATGGAAGCCAAAAATGCGTAAATCATTTTTTTTTAAATTAAAAATTACCTTGAAGTTGTGATTAGATAATCTACAATTCCTCTATTTTATATATTTCACTGACGAATATTATATATATTTTATGCACCAAAATTCATTTGGGAAAAAATGTGAATGATAGCAACGACCAGAGAACGTTTTTGGAAAGTTTCTTTTTGAAGGGATTTTTCCTTTTTAGAAGTTTTATGGAATTTTGCACATTTCCAGACCTACAACTGGGACAACAGCAACGTAGTGCTCTCCTCATTTACATGGGGCTATTTGATTCTGCAAGTTCTGGCAGGTCAAGTGGGCGGTAACCACGGTTACAAATGGCTTGCCTTCACAGCAATGGCAGTCAATTCCCTAGCCTGCTTATTAATACCTCTGGCAGCTGCTTATCTAGGCTCTTACGGAGTTATGGGGTGCAGGGTGGTTCAAGGCCTTGCTCAAGGCTTCTTTTTCCCTATAGCCTATCTTATGTTGAGCAAATGGGCGCCGGAAGAAGAAAGAAGTCGTATGACGACATTCGTTTACTCAGGTGGAATTTAGAGACCAAATGGTACCACCTACTTTAATACGTCCTCTTGTAGGTATTCTGGTAGCGGGAATAATAACAGGACCGGTGACGGGCTACATATGTGCCTCTTCATTAGGGTGGCCGATAGCGTTTTACGTGTTTGGAGGCCTCGGTCTCTTGTGGTGCGTCTTATGGCTGTTCATGGGTTACGATAGTCCTGCTGTACATCCCACGATCAGTCCCCAGGAAAGAAAATATATCGAAGAATCGCTGGGACACCATGAAGCTGCGGAGGTAAGATAGGATGAACTGCGAGCTGTTGGAGTTATTTCTGCTGTTTAGGTAATTCAAACTCCGTGGAAAGCTATGCTCACGTCGATTCATTTTTGGGCTATAGTGGTGGCTTCGATTGGTACCGCTTACGGTGCTAATTTTCTCGCGACCGAAATGAACCAGTATTTGGTTAACGCCATGAAATTCAACGTCGAATCGGTACGACGCGAGTGACGTCATCCTTCCGGTATTTGTTATAGCCCACTAATTGTAGAGCGGAGTTATAACTGCCTTGCCGCACGTTGCCGCCATGATAACCTCACCATTGTATGGCTTCATGTCCGACTTAATCATTAAGAAAAAATGGCTATCGCGCTTGAATTCGAGACGATTGTTTCAACTTTACGGTAAGTGGAAATTTGAACCACCACCGTGCCATCTGTTATTGAGGAAACGAAACATAAATTGTCCTCTAATATTTACGTGTTACAAGTTCCTGTAAATATCGCTGCCTTGATGTCAATCGACGATTTTGAAAATAGGTCCTAGTTTCAGCTTTAAAATTTAACTCATGAAAAACACTAATTAATCGAACTATACATACATTTCGTCGTAATCAGTGAATCGTGATGTTTTGCTTAATTTTAGTTGTCGCTGGTTTTTAAGGTCGCTGACTAACAGGTTAATTATTATTAATAAAAAGTAATGTAATAACATATCACTGCTGCATAGCAACTGTAGGGTATACTGTTTTTTTTTATTTCTTTTGCGACAAGGGTAAAAACATTGGCGAATAGGGGGCGCTAGTGCCTAGCCCGAACGCAGTGATAGAATCTGATTATGTTGTGTAATGTTTGGTCTCGCACTGGTCGAGTGTTTCTTTATTTGTGATGTCAGAAATGAGTGTCCCCCTTATTGTTTCAGGGTGCTATCCCCAAACTATAATTCTAATTTGGATGGCGTTCTTAACAAAGTCGCAGGGAATTTTGGCAGCCGCATTGCCTGTGCTGTCGTTCAGCGCGCTGGGAGCTATTATTTTTGGAGTAAACGTGAATACCCTTGATTTGTCGCCGAGGTTCGCCGGAGTTACTAACGGGATTGCGAATACCCTAGGCTCTGCTTTTGGGTTACTTGCCCCGTTAGTGGTTCAGTACACAGTACCCCATATGGTAAGCCGAAAAAATTACCACTATTGCTTTGTGTTGGCTCGAAGTTTAAGTTCAAACAAGCCAAAACGCCTGTTAGTTAATAACAAAAGTCCCCTTTATAATGTAATTAGCATTGAAGAATCACTATCAACCTTAATCCCCATATGAAGATTATTTGAAATATAAACCAGCTATGACGAATTTCGAACCATTTGGGGATAGTTCTGAAACTTGAATAAATTATGCAAATCGCTCTGACCAATTGCAAGACAGTTTGCGAATTGTCAAGAATTAAGAACCCGAGTCCATTAATAAACATATCACACTTTTGGTAAGTTAAAGTACATTGAACCTAAAATGAAGATTGATCGTAGGACGACCCGGAAGAATGGAGACTTCCATTTCTGATATGCGCCGCAGGGTACGGAGTTTCGGCGACATTTTTTGCAATTTTCGTGTCGGGTGACAAGCAGTGGTGGGACAGTGGACCGATCAAAATCACCAGTGACACCGACAAAGTTTAAATACGTTATGTGCTTGTAACGACAATCAAAACGATTGATTCTTCTGTGATCTGTAAACATATCGATTTTTCATCAATTTATTTTGTATGTCCCAATGACATAATAAAAAGAAAAACATCATTCTAAAATTGTTTCTTCCCCTACACTGGCCTAAGTCATGTGTCTTAGTAGTGCCATTAGAAATAAGGTTTTAAAATCTTCACTTCGCCAATATAAACATAAACAAAATTTTTAGGGAAAAATACCCTTTTTGATCAAAAGAAAAGGGTTTAACATAAATGCGATGATTTGCAATTTTCCTTAGAGGAAACTTCAACTGGCCTTCCGAAAAGTGATAATTAAGAACCCGGCGTTACCTTAACATATTTATTTGTATCATTGCCACGAATTCAAGCACTTGTTTAACGTTTAGTGGTCAGTACAACTATGAAAGTTTCGATTTCGGAAGTGCATACGTCATTAAAAATAGTTTATTCGCGCTTAATATAATTTTTGCATTGATCTGTACTACGTATATATGTATACCGCGCATTCAATTTATATTAATAACATTTTAATTGACTGTAACTTTTTTCTCTTTAGAGAGATCAAGGTGAACCAAAAAACAAAATGTATGGTTAGTAGATAAGTTTTTTTTCCAAGTTACGTATAAAACAAAACATAATACACATATTTTTTTAAATGGAACACCCTGTATATTATATATGTGATTATTCTGATTACAATGATGAAACACACTTTATATTTTAGTCCATTTGTTTTTGACAAATCGTCAAAATGACTGACAAGTAAAAATATGTTTATGTTTGACATATTAGTAAACAACGTTGATGGTTGAATTATTGTCCAAGTCATTATTGTTAAAATGGTTTTTCCCTAATTTAGCACCCGTGAAATGAGTGATATGCTTCAAATATACTTTCTAAATAACAAAAGTGCAACCGCAGCACATCGTCAGGAAATTAGACTTTATCTAAATCGCCGAGCTATTTCAAAACAGATATTTCCAAGGCTGGCAAATAAATTTGCAGAAAACTGTAACTGTAAAAAGGTTTGCCGGAATTATAACGTTTTAATTGAGAAAAATAAGGCAAACATATTAGGATTTTATAAAGCACAACCAGGTTCCTCTATTACTAGAGTATATGAAGAGACAGATCCACTCAGTTTTGAAAGAATATAAATATAATGCATTTAAATTTCGTAAAACTCGAAAACTAAGTGCAGAACAATATCAAACGATAAATAATAATTTTCTGAAAAACATTTTATAGACTGATGAAACTTCGTTCACAACAAGAAAGGGTTGTAATAGACAAAATACGCGATATTGGCCTTTAAATTATCCTAGACAAATTAATTAATGTATGGTGTGGTCTCCTAGATGAGCATATTTTGGGTCCGATATTTATATACAAGATTAACCCCTAAATATATCAGCGCTGATTATATGGCAGCAGGACGGTGCCCCTTCTCACAATGTTGTGCAAGTTAATTTTTTTTTAACATGGAATATCCCAGGGGTTGGATAGGGAACGCCGGAACTATGGATTGATCATCCAACAGCCCGGACTTAACTTTAATGGATTTTTTCTTGTGGGGACACTTAAAAAATCAGGTGCACAGAAGGCCTTGTCATAATGTTATGGAACTTCGGCAAAGGATTTCATAGGCAATCAATCAGTTAAGAGACAATCCGGAAATATTACTAAATGCAAGACATCATACAATTAGAGTGTATAAGAAATATGTGTCACATCAAGCAGTATTTGAAATAGTTAACGAATTGTTTTGCTTTAGTGTGTCTTGTCATTTTTAGTGTTTCTATTCTACTTTAATTTGTAAATAATTATTGTTGCAGTCAGTCACGGCACTCTGATGTTATTTAAAAATTTCCTATTTTTGCCGATTTGTCAAAAACGAGTGGACTAAAATATAAAGTGTGTTTCATCATTGTAATCGGAATAAGATGTTCTAAATAAATATGATGTAGGCTTATATGTCAGAAAATTGATAGTGTTTTGCTTTATACGTCACTTGGAAAAACTTTGCTACTAACCACACATTTTCTTTTTTGTTTACCCTGATATCTCTAAAAACAAAAGTTACAGCCAATTATAATGTTATGAAGATAAATTGAATTGAATGTTAATATGTTAAGTTCGCCTATGCCTATGGACCATCGCGAAATTCAGCCAACCAAGACGAAAGTTCCCCATTTTATTGTACTATACACATGATCAAATACGTTATAACATCTCCAAAAAAGGCATTGTAGTGAGTTTAATTGTAGTGTCTAATTTTTTTTGTTAATTTTTGGTTGAATAAAATAATTAGGATTTCTTCATGTAATGGTGAGGGTGACATCCACTTAAAACGTCTGTAGATTTTATTTTGGCAGATAAGTACCTTGATTATTGATTAGTAATTGACGCGTAGGTATATTATCACATTAAAACATTTAATAAAAGTCGTCTAAAATTTTACTCTTAAATTTTTCACTCAAGCATTTGTAATGACAGTGAAGTGCGAATCTGAAAGCTCTGGAAAATGTCAACAGGAACAACTGCGTCGTAAGTTACTCCAATGTTCCCTCTGTCGTAATGTAATTTTAGTATTTCTTTTATTCAGTTCCTGCTTTTGGCAAAAGACACGTACAGGGTTTTTTGATGTTCTTGTGCCTCATGGTCGAACAAGGAGGAAGAGGTACTATCAACGTCGCGATTGTCTCTATGACTAACCAAAATGAGACAAATCCAAACATACCGGTAAATTAAATAAGAATAATCTTTAAACGCCTCTCAGACGTAAAATATGTTTTTGCTTGATATTTCATTAATAAAAGTAAAATAATTAAAATCTTCACCTTCAATAACAATAAAATCCGGACACGAAAATGTTTTTCAAATCGATACTTTTATAATAAAAAATTAACTTGAGGTTGCGACAAGACAAACTTTTTTAAAAAATGTTATGCATAAATATCGTTAGAGCCTAGAGAGCCGCGGAACCATCCACTTCTATAAATAGCATAAATAATTGTTATATTATTCGCAAAATTCTTGTAATAGATAGATAGATAGATATTTATTTCGCTTTTCGATAGTACATATAACACATATATGGGTCATATTGAGCACGTCACATCGCATTGAAATACAGTGTTTAAACAATACATTTAAAAAAATCATCTATTGAGTAGAGACCCCTACCAGTTAAAATATCTTAATTCTTTTCTTAAACACAGATAAACTATCAGTTTCTTCGAAGCATTTATGAAAATTTAAAACTCACTTGTTTTTTGGTTGGTTTTGTTGCCCGATATGTTCGTGCAAGTCACATCTACTATTCCATCTTGTCATGTTACCTTTGACGTAAATCCCTAAATAAATCCCTACATGAATGTTTACTAGTTGCGCGCCTCATGTAACGAATAGCACGTTTTTGTGCTAAGAAGACCAGCAGTGCACCAGTGGTTAGACCTAATTGCTGACATGTGATCATAATGAATGTAGTGCTCAATTGCAGACGTACGATTGGGACAACAGCAACATAGTGCTCTCTTCATTTACATGGGGCTACCTAGTTCTGCAAGTCCTGGCTGGCCAGGTTGGCGGTAGCCACGGTTACAAATGGCTAGCTTTCACAGCAATGGCAGTCAATTCCCTAGCCTGCTTATTAATACCTCTGGCAGCTGCTTATCTAGGCTCTTACGGAGTTATGGGGTGCAGGGTGGTTCAAGGCCTTGCTCAAGGCTTCTTTTTCCCTATAGCCTATCTTATGTTGAGCAAATGGGCACCGGAAGAAGAAAGAAGTCGTATGATGACATTCGTTTACTCAGGTGGAATTTAGAGATCAAATGGTACTACTTACTTTAATAAGTCGGCTTGTAGGTATTCTTGTAGCGGGAATAATAACAGGTCCGGTTACTGGCTACATATGTGCATCTTCGGTCGGTTGGCCAGTAGGGTTTTACGTGTTTGGAAGCGTCGGTCTCTTGTGGTGCCTCTTATGGCTGTTCATGGGTTACGACAGTCCTGCTGTACATCCCACGATCAGTCCCCAGGAAAGAAAATATATCGAAGAATCGCTGGGACATCATGAAGCCGCGGAGGTAAGATATGATGAACTCCGCGTTGTTGGAGTAATTTCTGCTCTTTAGGTAGTTCCAACACCGTGGAAGGCTATATTCACGTCGATTCATTTTTGGGCTATTGTGGTCGCTTCAATTGGTACTTCTTATGGCGCTACTTTCCTCTCGACAGAGATGAATCAGTACTTAGTTAAGGCTATGAAATTCAACGTTGAATCGGTACTACGGGAATGACGTACATCACACTGTTACATCAGTTAATTTTAGAGTGGGGTGGCAACTGCTATGCCGGCGGTTGCGGCTATAGTGACAACACCATTTTACGGATTCATATCCGACCTTATCAACAAGAAAAAATGGCTATCGCGGTTGAATTCGCGACGACTGTTTCAACTTTATGGTACGTTGGATTTTAACCACAACCCCACACACCCGAAAATTAACCTTAAAAAGTATGATTTTTTTTCACATGTTTAACAAATTTTCTACTGCTTGAATCAATGAGCCACCTAAACATATTACGTCTAAAGGCTCCCGCCCGAAAAATTTGTTTGAACTGATTGAGGTAAAATATGTTCTTTTAAGTTTAACAACGTGATTTTCAGATTATACTGGGTTATTCACGGCCAGTGTTCTATTAGACGTTCATTGAGAATGACTTGCGGTAAATATCTAAAATGTTGGATAGTTTGTTAGTATGCGTATATGAACCAGCTATGTAAAATATTTTTAGTCAATCAGTTTTGCCAGATATACTCCTAACGTATATCAATTTTCGTTTTTTAAATGGAACACCCCGTATATTACTAGGATTCTGCGAAAATTTTCGGTGTTAAAAAAATGCTTTTCAAAAAATTTGGCAGCAAACATCCCGATATAAAATATTATTTTTTTCGCAATCCGTACAGCTAAACACTTGAATTTTTGCCTGCAGTTCCCTATCATAGTATAGTATGAGAATTAACTTATCGCGTACAGGGCGTTCATAAGATAAGGCCCAATTGGTAAGATATGAAAATCCATATAACGTGGAATTTCATATTTTATATTAGCACATAGGCGACGGTGGGTCAACGCGGCTCCTGTTAAGTTTTTTATCTTTTGTGACTTTTAACCATCAAGTCGATTTATTTTTGACTAACTATAACTAAATTTGCCCAAATTTTGGCGAAGCTTCTGGCCCTTGTGCCTCACTCTCACCAATTTACAATGTTACATATAACAATTATAATTATTTATTAAAACGTATTTAATTAAAAGAAAACATTACTGCTTACTAACTATTTTTCTATCTATTACAAAAATTTGTTATTCGTATTTATAAGATAATAATATGGAATTGGAAGGGCTAAAAATATATAAATAATTTATAATTATAATAACGAAAAAAAAAAAGATTTTTCAAGTCATAAAGAAAAAGCCAAAATACGGCAATAAAAGCGAATTACAAAAATCACATTTCATTTAGGTAGCAGGCTTTGGCCCGCCATGGTGACGTTTTCTATAAACAAATTTGTCTTTGGCATAAATCGGCTTAATATTCCGTTATAAGCGTGTGGAAATGAGTAATTGTAACAGTGAAACTGCAAGGAAATACATCAGCCAACAAAAATTTAATATTCATAGCAACTGTTATACACAAAACAAGTGTTAAAGACCAATACACGGTTTTAATTTTTTTTTTAATTTTAATTACATACAATAAGATGTTATGCTTGAAATTACCTCTATTTGTTCTAAGACATCCATGGATTGATTTGAAACTGGAGTTTTATACACTCTTTCTTTAATTCTAAAATCTATTTTATTATCCGTTATCAAACAAAATCGCTTTTCTCGTAAAAATTTTGGATTTTCTGATGACCAAAAATGATTAGTCCTGTTAAAAATACCCTCCCGTGATAATTTTGACTCGTCGATTCAAATAATTCTTCTTCTTCTTCTTCAATAGCATGTCTAGGCGTAATAAATGCAGCACTGAGGAGAAGAGATTGTAATTTAATTATTTTGTAATTATGCTTGTTATGTTTGTTCAGTATCCGTTGAATGGATGACTAAGATATGCTAAAATCTTCTTTGGTGTTCGGAACAGACGCATGTGGAAATGCGTGAAAATATGCTAAAACGTTGATCTTCTGAGTTTATAGCATTTTTTGCCAGTTCCTTGTTGTTTTAAACTTTGCCAATATTGTTCATTAAATCGTCTATGCGTTCTTGAAACAATTTTTTGATACTGACCATAAATGTAAAACAAATTGAAAATATCTGCCTTTGCGTAATTATGTGCCATCTTGCTTTCTCAAATAAACGCCATATTTAACTATGAAAATGCGATTAAATGAGTCGATTTTTTTGCCCACATCAGTGAAAATAGATATATCATCGTTTGGTACTTTTAGATGGCTAATTGCTCATTTAGGTGGCAATATAAAATATGTGGTGTTCCATTTGAAATTCCCACGTAACATAGATTTTTATAACTTGGCAGTTGGTCCCTATCTTATGAAGGCCCTGTACGCGATAAGTTAATTCTCATTGTTTGTTGCCAAATGCTCAAGATAGGTACATAAAAAAGTTCCAGAAAATTTTGCAGAATTTAAAAATGTAATAATATACAGGGTGTTCTATTTAAAAAACGAAAGTTGATATACGTTACGAGTAAGCCTGGCAACACCGTACGACCAAAAGTATTTTACTTAGGTAGCTGATTTTCGCTCACATAACTAACCAACATTTCAGATTTTTGACTTAAGTCATTCTCTGTAAATATCTAATAGGATACTCACCGTGAATAACCCTGTGTATTTAATATAATAATTTATTTAATCGGAGCCAAATAAACCACAAGGTAGTTTTGATACATTTTTTACAAATGAACATATGTATGGTCGTACTCATACCGACGTGATTTTTGTTTATCTTTGCCTGTCAAACCTCAAAAACACATACCACAAAAAACTGAATAGGGAACAATTCCGATAATTTAGGGTTATAGTTTTCTAACTTCAGTCCCATAACAAGGTGAGAAATTCTTTTCTGCGTGGTCCTTAAGCCGACTTTACTTGAAAGCAACCATTGGAAATATGTGCATGCAGCATTCAGCATGTTTCTTCCAACGACACCTGCGATCCTGGTACGATCTTGATATTGCCTTTTGCGATCTGTTAAAAAAGTAAGTAAAGTAAAACTTAAAATTGTCAATAATCTCACTCACGCAGGTACACTATTGCTATAATTCGTGTCTGGTTTGGTTTTATGAGTATCTAATTTAGTTAAAGAATAGTGGAAATCCGTTAATCCCGTTCATGTAAAATTGTTGAAAATGTCTCCGTCATTTGCATTCAACTGACAACAAAAACTGTCTTCGGATAACTTTGCGTGGTGCAAATAATTGTTTATTTCACTACCTTCGCTTTTTCGCCTTTTTACTTGTTGGGCCAAAACAAGAAAAAAAAGTTTTGGCTCGCATGCTACAAAGTCACACCAAACTGGTTTGTGCAACTGAAGAGATTCTCAAAAGACTGTTGCGTGCTACATGTTGAAAATTGCTGCTGTAGTGTAAAACCTGCTTAACGTGACTGTTAAATATTGTATTTGTGTATAAAATCGCTAAATGATTTGGTGTAAAATCAAAACCATCAGTTTTTTTCCGCTAATATGACGTTATTACAAATTAGTATAATGTGGACTATAAAAGTATTTACGTAAATATTATCTGCTCCAACTGATAATATTTTCAGGCTCCGATAAAATGCGTAATAGAATTAATGCTACATCGGTGACTGGAAAAATGTAAAAGGGACCTCTTTATTGTTTCAGCGTGCTATCCCCAAACCATAATTCTAATTTGGATGGCGTTCTTAACAAAATCGCAGGGAATTTTAGCAGCTGCGTTGCCTGTGCTGTCATTTAGTGCGCTAGGCGGTATCGTTTTCGGATTAAACGTTAATATTCTCGACTTGTCGTCGAGGTTCTCCGGAGTTACTCAAGGCTTTGCCAATACCCTAGGCTCCGCTTTTGGATTAGTGGCTCCGTTAGTGGTTCAGTACACAGTACCCCATATGGTAAGCCGAAAAGCTTGCCAAACATAGTTTTCGTTTGCTGTCAAAACTGAAACTCGTCTCACACGATTCTTAAACCAAGCAAAAGGTCACTTTTATGATTGGAAAAGTATAAATTGCATTACAGAATAACGATCAATCTTAACGGTCTTTAGTTAAATGGCAAAATAATTTTAAGGTGACGTAATAATTTGAAAATAATTTTTTCAATTCCAGGCAGTTAGACAAAATTATTTTAGTGTTATGAAAGTCATTAAAGCAGTAGAGCGAAGACTCTTAATTAAAATCCCTTAAAGTGGCCATTTGAGATCATATATATATAACAAACTAAAACAACTCAAATTAATTAGACCTTCGATTTATGGCTATCTCTAGGTTGTGTGAGTTCTATCTCTTTTTTCCAGACCTAAATAAATTCTGCAAGTCCTTTTTGAGCAATTCGAGGAGGGTTTGTAAATGATTAAAAAAAAATCACCTAATTAGCAAATTTTTACTAAGTAAAATAAATTAATTCTAAAACCATGATTGCAGGACGATCCAGAGGAATGGAGACTTCCATTTCTGATATGCGCCGCTGCATATGGAGTGTCGGCGACATTTTTTGCAATTTTCGCATCCGGTAATAAGCAGTGGTGGGACAGTGGACCGATCAAAATCACCAGTGACACCGAGAAGGTTTGAAAACCTACTGTGCTTCTATCGATATGCAATAAGTTAGATTTTTCTGTGATTTGTAAATATATTAATTTTTCGTCAATTTGTTTTATAGTTCCTTATGGTTCTCCCACAACAGATTTTGCCTCATAAAATGTGTTGAATTCAAGTTCCGTCAGCCGGTTGCACCTTGGTTTTAGCACTATCTGGAATGGAATGAATGTTTATTTGACAGTGAGCCATATAGAAAGACAGATTTTGTTTCGATTTTGCATTGAAGAAATTTGCATTGCTTTAGCAACAGTAAAATCCATAAATCTAAAACAGATTCAAAATAAAAATTTCCTTATTGAACTATCATAACTAACATTATTCTACATATAAAAAGAAACAAAAAACTGTCAATTTAAATTAGAATATCTATAGAACTTCTCAGTTCTCAATCAAAAGGTATGGAAAATACCTTGAAGACAAGATCTCTTACGATATATTTTTTAAAATTTCAATATATACATTTTTGATCCCCTTTTGATGGTATAATAAAAAAAATAATCAAAATCGATGAGGATATAATTTAGTTACATTTGGTTTATCATAGTTGAACTAATGTATGAGTAATTTTGTTTTAACTAACTAGCTATGAGCGTTCACTGTTGGGAGCCTTTGAGAATGGGTATCAGGGAGATGCTATATATACTGACTTCTCCAAGGCCTTCGACAGGGTTGACCATGGCATTCTGGGAGGGAAGCTCTCAGGGATTGGAATCTTTGGAGACCTAAATTGGTTTCGCAGTAACCGAAAGCAATCAGTTAAAGTTAAAAATTGCATTTCATTAGAGACTGTTGTGACGTCTGGTGTCCCACAAGGGAGACGTCTTTGGACATTTCTTTTCAATGTTTTCATTAATGACTTAAAAAATATTTTTCGCTTTTCGCTTTAAGGTTGTAGCATCACCTCTTGACTGTCATCGATTACAGGAGGATTTTGATAGGTTTTCTTTGTGGTGCAGACAGAAAAATTTAACTCTTAATACAAACAAGTACAAAATTGTAAGCTTTGGCAGATCCAAAAATCCAGTAACTTTCTCCTATCATTTGAACTCTGGATCGCTCGAAAGACAGAACCTAGTTAAAGATCTTGAAGTTTGGCTCGATTCGGAGCTCACATTTACATATCACATCGATTTTATCACTAACAGAGCTATTCGATTGCTTGGGTTTGTTTTTCGGACTTTGAAGGGTTTTGAGAACATCTTTACGCATAGGGAGCTGTGCTGTCCGCTTGTGCGTTCAATTTTAGAGTATGCTAGCTGTGTCTGGCAACCATAATATGCAATTCACAAGGAAAAAATAGAGCGTGTGCAGCGGAACTTCCTTAGAGGGATAGGTTTTAAATTGGGAATGTCATTTGAGGAAATAAACAACGAGGAGATTATGAAGCTTTTGAATCTGACATCTTTGGAGAGTAGGCGCATATTTTTTGACATCTCTACATTGTACAAAATCCTTAATAAGTTGACGGATGCACCAGATCTTCTGGCATCTGTTGGATTTCAGATTTCTCCTATTAATGCAATATCGATTTGCATAGGACCAACTATGGTGTTAACTCGCCTATGAATCGAATGTGCAAGCTGACAAATATTTTACTGTCAAATAACGAGCGTATTGATTTATTTTCTGACTCTCTCAGTAGTTTTAATTGTAAAGTAAAGACGACTGTTTTTAATCAACCGACCGCCTTGTAATCTTTGTAGTTTATTAATTGTAAGTGTTGTTTGGATGAAGTATTATTACTCGATTGACATGGGTGGGTGCTATTTTTCTTAGTTTTCTTAGGTTAAACTATATTGTAAATGCTAAATACGTCAATAAAAATTTTAACTTTTTTATTTTTTTTTAGTATTTTTAAAACAGACATAATTATGAAATAACAGATGTGCCAGATAATGAGTTTGTCGCCATGCGAAATTATGAAGCAAACAAATTTTTAATTTAGTTGTTAGATTGTTATCGCTCCATAAACGAATTATTTTATTTGAGTTTTTTTTACAAGTATTTCATTGATGCGAGACATGCAAATTGGCTCTTAAAATCATCATACTCAGGTGCTCAAAACAAGAACATCCTTGTCAAACTGTCAAACTAAAACCTTTTCTGCTTTGCTGGATTAAATTTTTGAGAAAATTGAACAGTCCGCATAAAATCATTTCGCTGAGAAATGCTATTTATAAATAATAAAATTAAACTACACACATAAAATAAGACATTTTATATTTGTTTGTATGCAAATGAGGAATTTCTGCATCATTTGCCAAAGCAAAACACAAATTGACATGTTGAGAGAAACAAGAATAAAACTGGATTAAATGTAATCCTAGTTTCGCTACAACCAAGTTATTACGAAATTATCACTTGCTGTAAGTGTTAAACAAAAACGTACAAAATTAAGTGGTACTGTTTCTTGGAACTTAATAACTTAATTTTGGATTACTCAAAAAGATAAAAGAGAAATTTGAAGCCCGATCAATTTTCAAAATCGCAAAATCCGTTGTTTTCAAGTAAAAGTCCAACTTTGCTGGATCTGATCCAAAATATTCATCACCTCTCATTGGTCTCATAATCTTCGGTGCAGCCCTCGTATATAAATATCTAAGCCATTTTGTTATGTATCATAAAAAATTTAGAATATATATAAGTGCCGTTATCAATGGATTCGCAATCTGTTGTCGCCTCTTAATAGCTTTATGCATGTTATTTTGGCATTTTTTTATTGATGCCGTCGACTTTGTCTCATGTTTCTTGACCTGCATGCGTTGACGCAACCGACGCGATTTTCGAAAATGTGAGTATATTCTCGATTTTCCTTTTCTTTCATTATTGATATTAAAATTTTATACCAATATTTATTACTATAAAAAACTGAACTGAAATGTTGCAGAAGTTCGATTTTTACCAGTAAATTCGAAGAAAAGATCACCGCTAGAAATTATTAATAAATGGCAGTAAGAAATCCACCGCTTTCACCGAAAAAAGCTTATTTTTCGGATCTTGAATAGTTGTTCCGGACTTGAGTAAAATTGTTTTTTTTTGCAAAATTTTATTATGCCTGGGATTTCATTTAATTAATTTTACCACCGATCCGATGAATTTTTATCATAAGCGTGCGTATATCTGCATTTAATGTATGTTGTTTTTGTTTTATTTGCATGTAGTTTGTGAATGAAATTTTATCTCTCAACAACTGTTCAACGAAAGAAATATTCATTCATTAACGCTCGAAATATAAGAGAGGTCACAAAATATTTTAATATGCTAAAATTACTAAAATTGATGATTTTATTTTAATAAAATTAAACTTTTTTTCTTAAAAACCGGATTTTTTTAAAATCGAATAACATTAGTAGTGAAATATTTGTTTAACAACAATTCGTGGAAAATAATTATGTTTACATTATATTTAATTAACCCTGATGTTACGAGGTGTAACAATTAAAATATCCTTTTTAATATTTTAAAATATCTTAAACAATTTTAAATAAAAACAAATTAGGGTTTTTTATTTTATTTCTTTTTTATATAGTTAGTAAAGTAAAAAAAGACGGCAATACCAAAATACATTTTTGAAAATGTGTACAATACGTTATTTCAACTATAAGCAAATATTCTGCACTTTTTTTCTATTTAACGATTTTTGAAACATCGCACAAAAACTTTTGCCTGAAATTAATATCTACTTTTGAATCAATGTTCTTGTATCGGGGAGTTTCTAGCACTTGCGAGCTTATATTTTTGATTTGAAATATTTGCCCTGATTTTAACTTGCAGGTCAGTTTCAATTATATTTTCTTCGATTTTCAAATGTTAGATTAGATAATGAGACTATTTTTGTTTGTAGTTTAGCGTCCAGGATTTTGATGCAAGTGATAAAATAAAAGTTACTTTATATTGTGATATTAATGTGAATCAACTGTAAATATTTCCCAAATAGTTTAACAGATCTGAGGAAGCTAGATCTGTTCAATTAGAAAAATTTTTACAGTCCGTCTGAATTTGTTTGCCACTATCTCGAGAGCATTAAAAATAAAAATTAATTAAAAATTATCTGTCAATTTCCATCCCTACGGTCGACGCAGTTGCGAGATAAAAAAATAATAAGTTTTGTCGATTGCTGTTAATTGCGACAAGCGTCTTGACCTCCAAAAAATTGCTAATCAACGAAACGTATTCCGAAGGGTGTTGGAATTATGGACTTCGAGAGTTAAACACGATAAGATATTTTAATCGCTGAAAAGCGCTAATTATTTTTTTTTGTTTAAAAATATTCCGCCAAAACAGCTCACTATCAAAACACAAGGTCTGGGTGAAAAGGATTATTTTCATGCGGGACTACCGTACGGTTTAATGATTAGCACTGGATATAAAATTATTCATAACCTTTTATCTCGGTTTATTTTACTTAATAACTTTTTACAATCCCTGTACAAACTTCTCCGTTGGTGCATTAATATCCTGTACTGGTTTCGTCATCTTTTTTTCTCCATGGCAACCAAACCGATATTCTGGAACGATTGCCTTAAACTTAAAAAAAATAGTGTCCAAAACATCCGAAGCAATTATAGTAGAAATAGATGTATAGATAGATGTATAGATGTATAGATAGATAGATAGATGTAAAAGGAGACATTTTTAATCTAACCAATCAAATAACAATGGAATATTGAATGCAAAGCAAAAATTGAATATAAGGAGTGTTGAAATGATAGTAACTAACCAAGTCACTGAATGTATTAGTTTACTGATATTTTTTATTGATATTTGAATGTAAAATTGACATGGCCGTCAAAAAATATCTCTCTAAACTTGTATAGAGATCTGGAAACATGTAACGTTAATAGTAATAATATGATTTTATTGAAAATACCTTTCTATTTTTCTATTAATATTAGTTTTTCTATTTTTTGAACTGAGGTGGCTTTTACTTGATGAAAATCCATTTCTCACAATTAAATTAGAACAAAAAATTTTCAGATTTTCACCGTTATTCATTACCTTATGACAGCTTATTCGACTACGCCGTGCCTTTACCATATGCATACTATGAGAATATCCCGACATCTATGTACACAATCAGGTAGAAATGTTTCGAAACATCTATCTAAATTTGGTCTTAAGATTGCTTTTCAAAACTGAAAACACTATTGGAAATTTTTTAAAAAACAATAAAACTAAATCACGAAAAACTCAAATGTCCGGAGTCTACAAGTTGAAGTATGGATCATGTCCCAAAATTTATATCTGAACATAAAAGAGAGTATAAAAATAAAAATTCGGATTCTGACCATGCCATTCATTTAATTTAATGAAACAAAAAGCAAAAAACCTACATTTGAGACACTCGAATCTATTACTTAATGACCAATTGTATTTAAAGGCGTCTCCGTTGTTAAATTTAAATTTATAACTCTACACCGGTATATTGCCATATTTTGTATTAGATAAAGTCACGGTATTGTCGAAAGAGTTGTCATAAAGTAATAAATAACTGTGAAAATCTGAACATTTTTTGTTCTAATTTAATTGTGTCTTCTATTTCTCTAAAATTTTCTTAAAATTTTTGATTTTATCTCCTGTTTATCCCGTTTTAAGAAAAAATAATAGGGGATTTTATAAGTACATGTAGTAGTAACAGTGCAGCCTGAATTGGAACAAATTTTGTTCTATCGATACTACGTAATGGTTGCTTGAAGGTGGTAGGCACTGATTCAGTAGAAATACTAAAAGGATGTGAAACTTTCATTGTCTTCATTTTTAACTTACACAACGTTTCGGATAGTTGTACATACTAGGCGACGGCGCTCATCCATGACTGAGTCGTGTGCAGTCAAGCGTGAAGTTGTTAAACTAGAATGCCAGCATTGGTGCGTATTATTAGAGGTTGCAAATTGTTGATATATCCACGCTTGGATTGCTGAAGATGTTTTCATTATTTCTAATGAAAACTGCTTCTTTAAATTTGCGCTCTCTGTGAACAACCCGCGCTCTGGACCATTTTATGTTGTGTTGTTTGGTCCACACATGTTCTGCGTTACCTAATTTTTGCGTTTCACCCTTCATTGTATATTTCTTAAGTTCTTCAACTCTTATTCTTAGAGGTCGCTTGGTGTCGCGAATATATGACTCTCCGCGTTCACAGGGTATCTGGTAGATACACTCTTTCTCTTGAGTCGACGTTTCACGCTTTGTTTTTGATATTGTTTAGCTATCCGCCTAATCTTTTCTGATATTCCTTTCACGTATGGGATCGTCAAGAGGGAAAGAGTATCTACCTCACATGGTTTCGGTGTTGTTTTCCGCTTACAGTTTGTTATTATTTTGTTTATAGATTTTTCGGAGTAACCGTTCTGAAGCAAATCCTTTTTAATATTATTTAATTCGGTATCGAGAGATGCTTGGTCGCTACATATTGTGATTGCTGTTTTGCACAGTGTTTTAATTGTTCCTAGTTTGGTGACTTCAGAATGGTTAGACTCAAAATTTAGATATTGTCTTGTGTGATTAGGTTTCCTATATACAGACGTGTTAATAGAACTATTATTTCTACTCACTAGGACGCTTTACTATACTATACTACACAATAATAATGTAATGATAATGTAAGCATTATATCAAAGAACTGACATTAGACGTTCTGAACACCCTCCTAAATAGAAGAAAATAATTGACAATACCGGTACTAAAATTTTTCCATATCAGCCGATTTGAAATGTTATTGGATCAGTATACGATGAGAAATGATTTTGTTGTCGGGGCAGCATCAACATAATATCGAGACAATAGTATCTACACAACAATATTCTGCAAAACAATGATTTTGCCGCCAATTATTACGTGTTCCACTTATTTCCGTTTACCGATAAGCTTCGATATGAATTAAGAAAATCTGTAAGTCACTGTCTATAGATCGTTCGTGTTCATCTGGAAATCCGAAACTCGTTCATATATAAGTACATCTCGTTTCCTAGTTGGGACCACAAGTGCTTCGGTTTGTTTCAGCTAACCATCAAACGTTACGCGTCGAATTCCACCAAATCGTCTCCGTTTACGACTTCGACATGGAGAAAAGTGCGAAAGGGAAACCGTTGAGTAAGTAGTTGTCAGTAATTTAAAACGGACGTTTTGAGGAGACTTGTTTCGTAGGCGCCCAATTCGGAAAACGGCACATACAGGCGATCTTGATGTTTTTCTGCATAACGATAGAGTTCGCTTCGAGAAATATCCTTAACGTTGCTATAGTATCCATGACCGATCCTGATGCTTCGTCCAATCCAGACGTACCCGTAAGTTAATCTTTTTGACCGAAATAAACTCTTATTTGTGAGCCCCAGTTCATTTATACCTCTTTGTGCCTTCTTATTGCCCTGTTGTATCTTAACCTTGATCAAAAGATAACCAAACTTTAGCGAGAAGAAATTGTTGAATCATTAACCTTGGATTAAAAATTGGTTAGTTAGTGCGCCCTTGGTGTACATAGTTTTTTGTGGAATCTTTATTTTAAATACATTTCCAGATGGATTTAGATAAGTTTACCTCAAATGAAGATTTTAATGAAATGTTGTTTAGACCTCTCTCTACATATGATTACTGTTATTTTCATTAAAATCATTTGCTATTTGAACCAAACACTTGTTTTTTTTTTTCTACAATGTAAAAATGTTTTTCCCGATATCCAAAAGAGCTTTTCTTCAACTTTATTGAACGCACAGAAGCACAATGATAAGATTTTACAGTACTTATCAGTATAAAAAATAAAATCTTTTAAAATTTTCTTTTGGAAACCGCATGCGTTGCTTCAATGGTTTAAAAAACAATGTGCAAGATGCTGCGCATATATTGCCAAGTGTAGATAACTCGAAGTTAACGGAACTCGTTTCGGCAAAACTCACTTCGATTTAAATTTGACACTAGTTTGGAGTAAACTTATTCCAAATTGAATGAGTCTTATTCGGAACAAGAGAATTGCCTTGCCTTAGATTTACAACTTAAGTAAAAGTTTTGTAATTGTAAGAAATAGAATTTCTCTTTATTTGGTAAGAGAAAACTTGAAAACTATATTGAGAAATTTTTTGGACATAATATTCGGTCTAGATAATAAAAAAAAATTCTGGATAGTCCGCGGTTTGGCAACTAATTTTTTTTATCGAGAATTATAAGTATTTTTCCATGTAGATCGCTATCACTGCATAAGCATTAATTGTATTAGATTTATTACCAACCAACCGAAGGTAAATAATAATAAGGCGTGTGATATACGTTTTGGCATAGGCATTGAAAATTTATCTTTAGCGTTATTTACGCATTTATACAGAAAAGAAAACAATTAACATATCACGACTAATTGAAACGAATGTTAAGTTGTAGGACTTTGATCGTTATCGTTGTTGAATTGATCAGCTTGGGCCGTTACACTAATGTAAAAAGTCACTTACTTTATTATTTAGTTTGATTAATTTGGGTATGCGTGGCATTTGAAATTTTGAATTGAAAAAGTTTTGATATTGTGTCGATATGACAAACAATCTGTATCTGCAAGATCTAAATTAAGTTAATTATTGAACTATTATAACTAAGGTTAGATTCCTTCTCTCCAATTTTGATAACATACACGTAAAAAGAAACAAAAAACTATCAATTTAAATTAGACTATAGAACTTTCCAGTTCTCAATCAAATGGTTTCGAAAATACCTTCAGGACAAAGTCACTTACGATATATTTTTTAAGATTTCAATATATACAATTTTGATCCCCTTTTGACGGTATAATGAAAAAAAAAATCAAAATCCATGAGGTCATCTACCGAAAAAAAAAATTATTTTAGCTAATTAAAAGTGATTTAGATGTGGTCTGAATTTAATTTAGTTACATTTGGTCTATCATAGTTGGGGTTTTGTTTAAACTAACTAGTATTTTTAAAAGTCACAATTATGAAATAACAGATGTACCCGACAATGGGTTTGTCGCAATGCGAAATTATGAAGCAAACAAATTTTTAATTTATTTGTTAGATTGTTATCGCTCCATAAGCGAAAGGAAAACAACTAACATATCACGACGTGTAAACTAATTAAAACGAATTATAAATTGTCGGATCGTTATCGTTGTTGAATTGATTTGGACCCTTACACTAATGAAAAAATTCACTTACTTATTGCAAAATATACTTCTAGTCTTTATTTTATTATTTCGTTAATTTACTTATTTTGATTAATTTGGGTATGGGTGTAATCTGAAATTTTGAAAAAGTTTTCATATTGCGTAGAAATCACAAACAATCTGTATGTGCAAGATCTAAACTAAATGAATAAAATGAATGTAATATTATTACAACCGGCAAGTATTAAAAAAAAAAAGAATAACACCAGGAAAATATGAAACTGGCATGGTGGAATTTTAGTAGCACAGACTATAAAGATTTATATTAAATGGAGAAACGTCTCCAAGTGAAGATAGTACACACCACTCAAACTTTGCTTCCACGTGTTTATATGCTGTTATAATATTTTCCAGACTTACGATTGGGACGACACCAATATTATATTATCCTCGTTTTCATGGGGATACATAATCCTCCAAGTGTTGGCCGGCCAAATGGGCATAAGCCACGGCTACAAGTGGGTGGTTTGCGCTGCAATGGGGGTCAATTCCGTTGCGTCTTGCTTAATACCATTCTTAGCGTCCCAATGGGGTTCCGCTGGAGTCATGGGTACGCGCGTGGTCCAAGGAATGGCTCAGGGTTTCTTCTTTCCCATCGCTCATCTTATGATAGGTAAATGGGCACCGGAAAATGAAAGAAGTCGTATGACCACGTTCGTTTACATCGGTAAATCGGCTTTCCACATTGTTGGCTCCTTAATGAAGAGATGTTTTAGGAGTCGGAGTTGGTGGGGTGATATCGGGACCCATTACGGGATACCTGAGCGGCTCGTCGTGGGGATGGCCTTCGGTATTTTACGTTTTCGGCGCTATGGGGCTACTGTGGTGCCTCGCATGGAGTTGGGCGGGTTACGACAGCCCAGCAACCCACCCAACGATTAGTCCTTCGGAAAGAAAGTACATCGAGGAGTCGTTGGGCCAACACGAAGACAAAGGGGTAAGAGGTAAAAGCAGAAAGTGATTTTTACGTTAGGTTTTGTCACTTTAGTCGATCCCCACACCGTGGAAAGCGATTTTCACGTCGATTCATTACTGGGCGGTTGTAGTCGCTTTTCTGGGGTCAGCGTACGGTAACATCTTCATCACCACCGAGACGTCTCAATATTTAGTGAACGTGATGAATTTAAGCGTCGAATGGGTAAGTGTGAAGGAAATATTTGCTCCGGGTGTGGGGGTTCACGCAATTTCGTTTCAGAATGGGTTGGTGAACGCGCTACCCCATATAGCGGCCATTGTAACTCTACCTCTTTACGGATACGCCTCGGATAAGATTATCGAAAGGCAATGGTTGACGCGCGTAAACGCAAGGCGCTTCTTTCAACTCTACGGTGAGCAAATAATTTATTTTAATTATAATGTAATCTCATCAGATAATGGTTGTCGAATGGCTGATAAAAACGGACCATCAGAATTATCTGTAGACTCTCAACGAGTGCATTATCGTATTTTTCAATGACGTTCGCAGAACTTGAGAAACTTAAAAAGCATGATTCTTACGTCACTCCAACTTTTGCTCCTAACGCATGATAGTTTCAATTTCTTTTGACTTGAAGTGTCTTATCTTATTCCTATTTTTCACAAAACGCTTTTATTAGTTTCATTGTAAATTGTAATTTTACTCTAGAGAATAAGAGTCAAAGTAAAGTCGTTCCCCACTGTATTTCATCGTTGTTTGAAAGGTTCTTGATTAGATAAGCCCAGTATAATCTCAGCATCCATCCACTACTTAAATACAATTTACTTACACTAAATTCCCTCAGTGTTCTTCTCCAATAAATAAAGTTATGGATGGTATCATAGTGCTTTTTCTCCATCCATCCTTTTTGAAAGCAATTCTGCATTTGAAAATACTGTCTCTATTGTTAAGACGAATCTCAAACTTCCTCTGGTAAATGAAGAAATTTAAATAAAAGGAGTTCCATTCTGATCTCTTTGAAAAGTACAACTCATATATGGCGATAATTCATCACAGTTTAAAAGTTGGGTTTTGGTTAAGAGTACTTCAAATAATGTTTTTCAATTGCAGGCAGCTACGTACAAGCCATAGTATTAGCTTGGATGGCATTCCTGAACGAATCGCAGGTTGCCTTGGCCATAGTCTTGCCCATAATAGGAAATGCAGCGATCGGTGGCATTCTATACGGCAGCGATGTTAATCTCATCGATTTATCTCCGAGGTTCGCGGGGGTAACTCACGGATTTTCCAACACGTTGTCGTCCGCCATCGCCATGCTCGCACCCATCGTAGTGCAATATACCGTAACCGACATGGTAAGTTCCAACGTTAGATATTACGAACCACATCTAAGAGAATTTCTGTTTACGAATTTCAGTCTGATCCAACCCAATGGAGAATACCTTTCTTAGTGGCTTCTCTGGGATATGCGGTGACGTCGACGTTCTTTGGGTTTTTCGCATCCGGCGACAGACAATGGTGGGATGCCGGGCCCAAAGATCAATCGGAAACTACCGACAAGCCTGCGGAGATTATAGATCTTGAGAATGTGATATAAGTTATTTTAAGTGTTAAAGTTGAAAGTTTTTATTTGTTGTAAAATAAACCGTCATTTTCAAAGAATTTTATTTTTTAGCTTTGTAAGTAAAAGTTGATTGCTGGGAATATTTCCAAGGGATTCTTGTTTCTACTATTTGAGCCGATCAACTCTGATGAACTTGAAAGTACGAGGGGGTACCCAAAAAAAAACCGGAATCATTTTTTATAAACCATATATTGTTTTGAAAATCACAGAACGACCTTATCCCCTTCAAAATACTGTCTATTACAACTAATACATTTGTCCCAGCGGTGCTTCCACTGTTCGAAACATTCGACAGCTCATCCCTCGTTTTCTTCTTGACCTCTTCAATGTTGTCAAATCGCTGTCCTTTCATGTCCCTTTTCATACGTGGAAATAAGAAAAAGTCACACGGAGCGAGATCAGGCGAGTAAGGTGCATGAGGCAGAGGAACCATGCCATTTTTAGCCAAAAACTGCTTAACAGAAATGGCTGTGTATGCAGGTGCATTATCGTGGGGAAAAAACTAGTCCTCTGTCCGCCAAAAAATGGGGTCTTTTTTGTCGAATACTGTTGCGCAATCTTCTTAAAACTTCCAGATAAAAAGCTTGATTAACGGTCTCACCTGGTGGAACGAACTCTGCATGAACTACGCCGTTGATATTTTTGAACGGGGAGACAGTGACGTCTTCCATTGGCTGGACTATTGCTTCGTTTCTGGATCGTAACCATAGCACCATGACTCGTCACCAGTAATGAAAAATGAAAATGAAAATCTGGATCCGTTTCAAGCTGTTGAATCAAAGCACGACATGTTGCAACTCGATGTTCTTTTTGCATGTCAGTCAGAACACGAGGAACAAACTTGGCAGCAACTCTTTTCATTCCCAAATCTTCGGTTAAAATTCGCTGAACCGTGCTCCAAGACAACCCACTAATCTTTGATAATTGTTCAATTGTCTGTCGACGGTCTGTGAGCACAAACTCTCGAACCTTTTAAATACTTTCGTCGATTCGAGCAGTTGATGGACGTCCAGAACGAGGTCGGTCATCAATTGACTCGTCGCCATTTTTGAATTGAACAAACCACTGGTGCACTTGAGTTTTTCCCATCGCATCGTCTTTATAAGCTGTTTTTAGCATTGAAACAGTTTCAGCAGCACTTTTACCGAGCAGAAAACAAAATTTCACAGCTGCACTTTGTTCTTTTAAAATTGACATCGAAAAAAACGAAATAATGGCAAAAAATGGCACTGCAAGTGAACAAAACAAGTTAAATTTAAAACGAAGGTGGCGTTGAACTCGCAATAAGTTGTACTATCCACAACCCAGCGGCAGAAAGGTGTACTATACGAGCTCTGCGCGCGGCAATTCAATTCCGTTTTTTTATGGGTACCCCCTCGTATAGCAATCCTTTGCTGTTTTCTATCTTCCAGATCATCTATGATTTATTTGATACTAAGTAAACAAATATTTAGCCGTAGTATTTTCTATCTATATATTTATAGGTTCTTGTGTGTGATTTTGTGCTGTGACCAGTCAGTCTGTTGCGGCACACCTGTCCTGTCAAGTTCAGCTCTAGTATCAAGTCCTTTATTTGGTTGGTGGAATATGCCCTTCAGATTATCAACCTCCATGATGTCTCTGAGATTGAATTGTCCACTAGACATACACAAATAAGGTTTGTATTGCTCGTGCCTAATATGTCATTAAATATTTTCTCTCCAAGCGATTGCCAGAGATAGTCAGTTGTGTCCCCTGCACTCTTTCTTCCTAGAAGGTTCTTGCGTTGTCCTTTAGGCCATAGGCCACCTTATTTTGGACACCCTAATAGTGATAGTGCCTCTGGACAACTTCTTAGGGGCTTGGAGCAGCACAGTGACGACTTCAACGCCTTCACTGCGACCTACCATACTACAGGATTTTTCTGTGCCTAAGTCGTTTTCTATTTATATAATGAACCTGTCAGTTTGTGCAGATCGTTCATTAGGTATTTCGTACGATTTATAATTAATTTTGGGGTTGACAGAAGTTACTGTTTATGTATCTTCAATCAAAATTCAATAAAATTATCCTCTATTATAGAACTATATGCTCCTGTCAGTTTAGTTCGTGGGTACTAGCAAAAATCTTAAAGGTTGTATTGAAAATAATTTATTATCACGATTGAACACAACACGTAACAGTCAGATCTTCTCACTAATTTGCAGTTAAGCTTATCACAGATACTTTTTTTATCCTCTCCAGGTTTGGGTCTTTCGGACCGTCCCATGACTCCCGTTTGCCCGAAGCAAATATTCCATACAAAGTCGCAGATACAATATACGCTCCCGCTGATATGAGGAATATGGTCCTCCATTGAGCCAAGCTGCTCTAAAAAAATATCCAAATTGAAATTCGCGTAGGCGGAATACGGAAAGCTATTTTACTTGATCCGTCACCATTAGCTGTACTAAGAGAGGAGAGAGAATGCCTATGCCTTGACCGGTTCCATTAGTGAAGCCCATCATGATTCCAGAGAATCTCGGCGACAGGTCCATTAAATTGACCGTGGCGCCGTTTTGAATCGATCCAGTGAATATATTCATGAATACCAGCATGATTACGGATATATAGGCGTAGTCCTTGGTAACGAAGCTCATAATTATCAGGCACACGGCGATTCCGTAACAACCTAACGTCAAAGGATTTGATATCAACAATATTTAAATTATGAACAACTAAATGCACAAAACGCAAAAAGCAGCAGACTTTCAGACCTACAATACTGCATCGTTAGATAAAAAAAGGCAAATAACATGTTTGCACTAAATAAAAAGTACGATAATGACACAAGATCATAAAATATGTGTGAGTTACAACAAAATTTTAAAGGAATAAAAAAAACATCGCATTCAAAATGGTGAGGGTGGAGAAAAATTTCAAACTTTTCAATTTAAATAAAAAATAAAGAGTGTCAAATGGGAATCAAAAAACTTGCTTAACTACTAATTCCAATAAATTATTACTCACCGGTCAATTGGAATAATCTCCTTGTATTCACCCTTGATAGTATCTTTTTCTTAATTAGGTAGTCTGAAAGGGCACCACATAGGAAAACGCTGGCTACGTTTCCGACTGTTGGAAGAGCATTGGTTAATCCGTTCTAAATTGAGTAAAAATGAATAATTTCTGGCTCCCAGAGATCTTGTCTATTTTCCTTTCTTTTCTTTTAATATTTGTCATTTCTTACGTTTGATGTAAAAAAATGGCGAGGAAATCCACTTGCCAATAAGTGTTTCATAGTGGAAGTTTCGATAAATGTGTGAAAGAAGGAAAAATCAAGAGAATTTACACTCTAAACAGGGTTATTCACTTTGAGTGTCGTATTAGACGTTAATGGTGAGTGACTTGCGGTAAAAACCTGAAATATTGTTTACTTATGTTAGCCAATATGAGCTACGTATTATATTATACTCGAAACGTACATCGACTTTCGTTTTTGAAATGAATAACCCCGTATATTATTACATTTTAATCATAACCATTTTCGGAGATAAGAAATTTGGCAAACAAACGACCTGATATAAAATAATACATTCTTTCACAATTCGTACAGCGAAACACTTGTATTTTTGGTTGCAGTTCTATATTAAATTCCTTTATTATAATATAGTCCGAGACTTTACTTATCTCGTATAGGGCGTTCATAAGATAGAGCCGAATTTTCAAGATATGTTACGTGGAAATTTTAAATGGAACACACCATATTGAAAATGAGCAATTAACTTTTCGTCTATAAGTAGCGAACTATGGTATATCTATTTTTACTGGTTTTCAAGTTATGAGCGAAAAGCCAAATTTGTGCAATTAAAGCTAATTAAAGTAATCACATTTCCTCTGGGCATCAGGCTCTGACCGGCCATTTATTTGAGAAAGCGAGATGGCACATAACTATGCAAACGCAGATATTTTGAATTTGTTTTATACTTGTGGTGAGTGTCAAAGAATTGTTTCAATTGTCTCAATGTATGAGAGACAGTTTAAATAAATTAAAGCCAAATTTTCGAAACCTGCAAAGAACGCAACCTCCTAAACCTGTTACAAACTCAGAAGAAAATGAAACCAACCATTCCGAACATTAAATACGATTTTGTAATATCTTATTGCTCCATTCATTGGATATTGAATTAACATAGTATGCATAATTAGAAAATAATTACTTTACAATCTCGTCTTCCTGACTTGTAGAGTTTTGTGAGATGATACATATTTTTTTAATTTTCACGTGAGGGTATTTTGAACAGAAGGAAAAATCATTTTTTTGTCATCAGAAAATCCAAAATTTATACAGGAAAGGCGATTCCAACATCCATTTAGTTTTAACGTGTTTTGTTTGATTATGGATAATAAAATAGACAATAGACAGTAGACAATTTGCCATTAGGGTTACATCGCAGTACCAACGTGATGGAGCTCAGGCTCATAGCACAAATAGAGTAAGTCGAGAACTTACAGTACATGTTTGAAAACTCATGGATAACGAGTTTAGGTCCACGGAATTGCCACCGGTTGATGCCTACCTTTGGGGAGATATTAAAGAAAGAGTATATAAAACTTCAATTAGAAGATTTGGAATGCCGTGTCAGACAGGCTTTTCAACAAATCAATTCAAACGAAATTCAAAGAAGGGCAACAGTTTCCAATGTTATGAAGTCAATTCAAGCATAATATTAGTCTTGAATGGATTTTTATATCTTGCTAATTGGGCCTTATCTTACGAACGCTCTGTACGCGATAAGTTAATTCTCATACTATATTATGATAAAGCAGTTTAATTGACAAGCGCAATCAAAAATGCAAGAGTTTAGCTGTACTTGCGAAGCAAATTATTATTTTATATCGGTTTTTTGTTGTCAAATTTTTTAAAAAGTATTTTTTATCTCAGAAAATGTTCATGATAGGTATGGCGAAACGAAAGTTGATATACGTTACAAGTATATCTGGCAACACCGCATGTAACCATCATTCAGTCAGTTTCAGTCATTCTACATAAACGTCTAAT